CGAAACGATGATCTCAGATTTCTCGTTTCAAGTTAAGAAATCATCAACATGATAATTATATAGAATTTCTTTGTAACTTTTATTTTGAGTTAAATTTATTATCTCTGCTAAGGAATCGAGGATATTCTCTTATTTTGAAATTCATTGACGTTTTGTTAACATTGGAACAGCCAGTCTCGTCGAAACGATGATCTCGGAGTTCTCGTTTCAAGTTAAGAAATCATCAACATGATAATTATATATAATTTCTTTGTAACTTTTATTTTGAGTTAAATTTATTATCTCTGCTAAGGAATCGAGGATATTCTCTTATTTTGAAATTCTTTCACGTTTTGTTAACATTGGAACAGCCAGTCTCGTCGAAACGATGATCTCAGATTTCTCGTTTCAAGTTAAGAAATCATCAACATGATAATTATACATAATTTCTTTGTAACTTTTATTTTGTGTTAAATTTACTACGATAGCCCCAACAGTGCTGTAGCATTTTCTCGAATGCTGTCCATATTAACCTACTTGCGTTTATGCCAGCGTCACCCGTATCGTCGAATCTCGACTCTAATAATTAATCGAAATCGAACTCGTCCCCAGGTGACACGTTGAAGTGCACAAAATTTATGACGGTAATAATGGATACTCGACTTTCCATTCCCGCTCGAAATAATTGAAGCGGTATAAATAAATTATCTAGGACGAAATAAGTATCTCCGATGCCCTTACATCGATTATACAACTACTCTTACGTTCCATTATCGTTTGCAAAATAGCTTCGACATTAATAACGAGAACCATTGGAAAAGAAATATAATTTCAACCTCGATATCGAAAACAAAATAATTTGTAACAAGGATCGAGCTAATTTTCGTAAGCGATCCTCGAATTATTACAAGTACCGAAATCAAATAATTGTTTTATTTCGCTGCTGAAAGCGTTTCGAAATTTTTTTTTTTTAAGCAACTCGATGCTTGAGCCAGTCGTTGGATCGTTTAGCCACGGTCCAGCGATTGTTCAGTGCGAGCAAATAATTATTTGCCACGCAATATCTGATTCTAATGCAGAAACGTACGTAACAGCGGTGAACCGTGCCCGTTTCGTATCCCTCAGGATAAATATTGCAATTCGAGCTGCACACCGAACGGAGAACTCTGTTTATATTTGATTAGGGATCTCAATTATTCATTGCAAACGCAACGCGAATAATGATACAAATGCTTGTCGATCGGAGATGAGTAATTAACGATGGAAACAGTCAAGGAAAAAGATCGTGTTGTTCGTAATTGTCGATGAAGCAACCTTAATGCGATAGAAATTGGCAGATATAATATTAATAAAAAAATAATCGAGTGTTATTGTACCGGTATTTATCTTGGAAATGGAAAAATTCGAACTACAGTGTACGCAAATTTCAGAATCAATTTATTCAATTTCAGAAACGTTTCCATCGATTAAAAAATATTCTTTGCGTGTCTTAAATTGCTTGAGATTCGATGAATATAATTTAATAAATAAATAAGTCTTGAGCAGCCTCGTGGGCATGTTATTTGAAATAAGAAATTATCAATCTGGTTACGTAAAACATTATTAATATTTTAAATAATGAAAACTAAATTCATAGAAATTTTTCAGCTATACGTTGCCATTAATTATACGTACAGTAATTCGCGCGATCGTTACTTTGATATAATTTAAATAGTTAATTTAACGAAGTCTCACTGAAATTACATAAATCCAATTAATTGCAAACATTCTACGGTACTGTTGATCTGTCAATGATTAATAAATGCTCTCATTCTCGTTTGTAATTATAATTAGAAATAAAACAAATAATTAGTGTAATAACTACAGTAGTGTCTACATAAGTGACCGCATTATTGCCCACTTAGATGTCCGTTTAGATTGTCCGTGATGCTCCTTGTATATAAGTTGAAGAAAGTGTGACTGTGACCCATCCGTGGTACATGATTTGCACAGCCGTCTACGGCAAACCGCCCACGTTTGTCGCGCAATAGTTCGTTATTTTCAACGCTAGATGGCGCTCATTTTTCGACCTTGTGGCCGCCAGTCGGAACGTTGGCGCATCTCGGCCATCACCGTGATGCCCCTGGTGGACAGACAGCGAATTAATGGGGTTTTCCCAAAATCGAGTGACCACTCTAGCTACAATAAGGTAGCTTGTGCAACGCGCGCGGAAGAGTACGAGGAGACACGTTGTTGATTTACGTTTAGTTACATTTGTTAACACTTTTTGAGAAATAAAGGAATATATACCAAATATTCATCCACCTCGTCCTGAACATTATTGTGTGTATAGCCGTAGACGCTATAACCTCAAACCCTCTGGTGTTAAAACGTCCAAGTTTGTCGTGGACTAGTTCGTTATTAACACCAGAGGGTTTGAGGTCGAAAAATGAGCGCCATCTAGCGAAAATAACGAACTATTGCGCGACAAACTCGGGCATTTTGTCGTAGATAGCTGTTGAAATCACAGACGAGATATATGAATAGACGTCTCACGTAATGTAATTTTTCGGCCGGAGTTTCTGGGGTCCCGGGACCCCATTACCATTTTCGTGTCACTCGCTACGTTATCAACAGATTCAGAAATTAACACAAGAGGAAGTGAGACAGAAAATAAAATTACATAAATTTTATTATTTTTTAACGGAATTAAAGCTGTAGGGTCCATCATTGGACATTAATCGATTAATTTCATTGGAGAAATCAATCGATTAAGAGTATTTAAAAATTTCAAGATTATTAAAATTCATAAGGATGTATTTCATTGATACGTACACCGCAAATTCTCTATTTTTTATTTTAAATTGTAATACATCATTTATTAAAAAAATAACTCGGCAGAAACGTATTTGCGACTCGAAATCAGTTTAATCAGACTGTGCATCGGGGCCCCGGAAACTCCTCATTCCTCGCTTTCGCACACTATGCTCAATTGCGTGTACGTGAGCTCGTTGAGTTTCGGAAGAGCCGAGAAGAACAGGCTGATACTCGCTTTCCTTCTCGCTCTTGCATCGCTGACGTCGTTTACATTTCTCGAAAGCAAGCCTGGCATCGCCAACCGTTCGAATCGTCAGTAAACGACAAAAGCCATCGTGACTGACAGACCTTACATTTCTCGAAATCGGACCTGGGCGCTTTTTGAAGATTTATTGACTTTCCATACGAAGCGACCATGCGTTATACATATACATATACATGTTATACATGCTAGGAACTATAAATTGTATAACTTTCGTTGTATATCTACTTTCTAATAACATGGGAAAATTTTAAAATATAAAAAAATGTAAGAATACTGTAGAATTTTTGCAATGGAGAATTATTGAAAGAAAATGAGGTAATTATTTAGAAAAGGCCGGGTCTCACCGATTTCGATGATTTTTGAATATGTTGTAGAAATCAACATTTTGAGCAACTTTTTCCTATACATATAACCGCCGCTCGGCCTTAGTTTCCGAGATTTTTCTTCAAAAAGATCGCTACTACTACAATGAATTCTGTCTATATGTACATATCTGTGGCTCTGTATTGCATCAGTCCACGATCGTTGCTTTTTTCTCTTGTTTGTATTAGTCGGCATGACAACCGACGACAAATAATGTATAATGTGTCGAGCTAAATCTAGTTCTGCATTGTTGTCAAAGGTTCGAATTTTCTGAAGTATGGAACTCGCCAAATATATTATGTAGGCTATTTAGGTGAATTCTTCTTCCGTCGACAATATCATGCTAATGATCTAATAATTAAAGTCGAAATAATGGCTGAAATCTTTCCCACTTCTGATAATATCAATAAAGAAAATTGAATTAGAAAATGAATGCGTGGCCGCCGTTTGGCGGCCGGCTACACAAATCGAGTTTTTAAGCACAGCTGTTATACGCATTCATTGCCGGCCGCCTCGATGTATCTATAGAAAATAAAAAATAAAAATTTATTTCTCATAATTTTCTATGGTATGGTAAATTCTGAAACAATTCCCAATATACATAGGTTGATTTATACATGTTTCACAATAAAATGTTGTTTGACGTCTTTCTCCTGGTGTTTTCCTGTCGGAACAAATAATGCAGTCCCGGTTTCTTTGGTCTACATTTGGAATATGTAGCTTATTATTCATTCTATTGTCCGACAAAGAACGTTAATTTATTTAGATTATAACGAAGATAGCAATAGGAATGGTTCGACTTTGAATGAAGTTTCGATTTTACGTTTATAGTTTTTTACGTTTACGTTTTATGTTCTTTATGTTAAATAATTTCAGTAAACATTAAATAATATAGTTTATATAGTTACGTTTATTGTCCACGTGTTTGAATCCGACCATACGCCTCTGACCATCATCGACAATCCTTCCACTTCAACGTAAAAACGGCTGATATATTTCTCATTTTAATAGAATATTTCCCATTTTAATAGGAAAGTACAGGAAAACATGTGTTTCTTAAAAAATTGCGGTGAAATCAGTTCATTCTCCTTAATCACTAATAAACTTTCATGTCCCCTCAGAGGGGACGACCGAGTGCAAAGGGTTAAAATATGTTCATAAAATATTATCGTTTTAAAACGTGTATTTCCGTAAAAACAAATTTTTGTAATTTTTTCTTCATTATGGTATATTGCTTATACATTGTATATGCCTACACAGGTCAGAAAGTCAAAAATGCCTAGGCAGTCGAGAATCTCGGCTCGAGAATATGCGAGATCGAATTTCAGCTGTGGTGAGAGCAAGAAGGATAGACTGACATTCGCCGCCTTTCTCGAATCTACGAAGCTATACGAAACGCCAGAACTCATATACAAGGTGGTTGGCATTAGTGTGTGTGAGTGGTGGGGCAGTTCCCTTTGGGCACGGGTCTGCCGTCTGATAATACTCCACTGTCTTTTCCAATCCCTCCCATAATCAACTCACATGTATTTACGTACCCACTCAGCTGGCTGCCCATCAATACTAATTCAGTGCCTAGTTTCTCAACTAACCGCCATCCATGAGAAGAGGCCGCTAAAATCAGCTCCGAATTTTCAGGTCGGTATGGCAGTCAGATTCGGCCGCGAAAGTCCATAAGGTGAAACGTCTATTCATATATCTCGTCTGTGGTTGAAATCATGTACCATCGATGGATCACACTTTCTTCAACATATACACAAGGAGCATCAAATAGCTAATGGTACAAGGCTACACTGCAATCATTATCGTCGTTATGCTATACACATCCTGTCGGAATACTTATCCCTTCCTCGAAGAGGCCTTTTTGCGCGACACTAAAGACATCTAAAGAAAAAAAGGACAATGCCAGTTGAACAAACAATGGAGAAACAGATGCGAAGAATTGTTCTCATCGTTCTTGCGGTGTTACTTGCGTCGAAAAATTTAGCGTCGTGTACGGATGTTGTTTCCCCGTTGATCTATTTCCACTCGGAAGAAGATGATCCTGGTTCGAACGATTCCGAACCGAAAGCTGTCGTGGATTTGAACGAAGTTAACAACCCAGAAAGCCTCAATTTTATCAAATCCGACGATTCGAAGATATTGAAAAGCGATTTGGTACAAGTGAGTAAATTTATTGCTTTGGAAAATACTGTTTAATATTCTAATCTTGCTCTAAAATCTGTTTCCCTCGTCCTTGTAAGTAACTTGTTCTAATCAACGTATTTCTATCCACACCTTTGAATTTAATTATTTCGAACCCAATCCACTTTATACAGGTATAAATTTTATACAACTCGCATAAAAATATTTTTCTGAACGTTCTCCAAGTAGGACGCTGGTAATTAAACATGTTCTAGGATGATCCGACGAAGCAACCAGATATTACTGATAACATTGAAATCGTTATCAATGGGAGATCAATGAAACCAAACACCAACGCGTGCAAGAGTGGCGTTTGCAAGATATCCGTGTCCACCGATCGAGACGAGGATGGCAATATCGTAACCGACGTGCATCTGAAAGTAATATCAAAAACCGAGAGACCCACGATAAATGATATTCCAGTGATCGACGGAGTTCGCGGCGTAGAAGATCGCGATCTCCGCCTTCCCGATTTCCGGCGTGAGAGTTCTTTTCGTCCAACGACGCATTCGTACAACATTCCACAGGCAAATATCACAATTATCAAATCAAATATCAAACAGTGGTTTGTGACCAATTAATTTATCACTGGAAATGGTCCTTTCATTTTGTCGCGAAGCGAAATCTTTTTAAGAACAGGATATTCTATAACACCGAACATTTGCGTCCAACGCAGATAGCTGGAAAAAGGTCCCCGTAAGCAGACCATAGAAGCAAGGCAATTAAGTATTTTCGCGACTAAAACCGTCCCCATAAACGTAGACTCCTCGACAGCTGCACCTCACGTGCAAACACCCCCAATAAACCATACCTGCCCCAACGACAAACATTTTCCCAAAAATATTTAAACATTCAAGACACGCCTCAAGAACATTCCTGATACACCCTCCTCCCAAGCACCACCAATAAGAAGCCATCCATCTCGCCCTTTCCACTGATGAAACCAACCAACCACAACTTCACCGAGTCGAAAAACGCGGAAAGATACCTCCGTTAGACAGAAATCAATCAACGCTCCTTCAGAGTACACACCAACAGTCTCGTCATCTACTTGTATTCAAATAAAGACTTAAGGGGCCTTTCTACCTTGTGGGATTAAAAAAATCGATATTTTTTTTTTGCATTTTCCTTTAGTATGTAGTCTCGAAAATATGTCTACCAAATATTAAATTGAAATTCGGAAACCTAACGAAGTTATAGCCTGCTGAAATGTACCGCGCGTAGGTATAACAACTAGACGTGAAACTTTAAAGTTGTTTTTCTCGAAACTACATCTTTCGGCACTGCGTGCGTGATAACTAAAAAACTATTCAAGATATCAACATCAAATTTATACAGTATCTTCAGAACTGGTCTCCCTATAGCATGAACTAGGATAATTGCGATATATGCAATACTTTTTCTTTTATTAACAAAAAAGCAACCAAATATATGAAAATATTCAGTATTTTTTCGTAAAATAGCTGCCATTTTGCCATTTTTTGTTTTTTTGAAAAGATCCTAGTTCATGCTATAACCAACACTCATCTATATTAAGAATATCGTTGGTTTTAGGATTTCGAATAACTTGTTCGCAAGATATCACGTACGCAGTCGGGTGCCGTTCGTAAAAACTGTTGTTTGATGATCAACAAAAACAGCGTAATCAATAGATATTATGCGTTGCAAAAATTCGTAAATATAGCTAAATATATAATAAATGTATCTACAAAATCCGGAATTAATCGCTCTTTAATAACCCGCAAAAAAAAATCACAAAGAAACACGTATTTTTCATGCCTACAAGGTAGAATGGTCCCTTAACGAACAAACATCGTCTTTGCTTCTATAAGCACCCTAACTACTCACACAATTTTAAGTAGGCGTGTGAGGTACGCGTACAAAAAGGCAAACGCGCAATTAGTTACGCGTACAAACACATTTTCACTGGTAAATTAAATCGAATAAAACGTATTACAGATTCAGACTCGTTATCGTGACGGTGAACCTTGGTATCAGGGCCAGAGGAATTTCCAAAGACCTCAAATTACTTGGCATTACCATCATCCGGGAGAATTTGCAAGCAGAGGATTCTCGAATTATGGCGGACGATCGTTCGGTGCACCTGTTGTGGACGACAAGATCGAACCGCCGCTCAGCAAGACTCGAGGCAATTAATAACAATCAATAAAAATGCAATGTATCGCGATCGTTCGATCGTTTCGTTTTGAATATTGTTATCCAGTGTAATAAACGTACGAACAGTATCAAATAATGGTATATTTTTGACTTTCGTTTCACAAGAAGGAGGCGAGGAAAGACGGGCACGCAAAGAATTGCGTATCTTAAAACGCAAATTAATTACACCTACATTAAATAACTAGGCGGATAACGATTATCGTACAATAATCGGCTAACAGGAAAGGACGATGAGTTCTTGGGCATCGATTCTTCGGTAACATTGTTTCTCGAACGCAAATCAGCGCTAGCCCGTAAGTTTAAAATGATCCAAAGATCGTTACCTATATCGGTTGAAACGCAATTCTACGCTGACTTGTACTTATTGAATACATAGAGTATTTTTATGGCATTCGATTAAATATATTTGACAAGTAAACGATTAAAGGTATTGTTTATAAACCTGAGTTATAGAGGACCTTGAAGTAAAGGGAAGAAAACGTAGAAAGGGTAAGAAATAATAGATTAGCAAGATCTCTTATACTTCGACGGTGCGGAAATGAATTTTTCCATTGTCATTGACACCGGTTGTCGAAACCTTGTGAGAGACTGCTTTCCCATCAGGACCAATCATCGTGTTGCTACTGCTGCTGGTGAACACCCCATAACTGCCCCCAGACGGTGGTGGAAGCTCCTCAGCGAATCTTGACTCTACTCCAGGGGCACCCTAAAAAATCAAAAGTAAAATACGATACAGTACTGTCAAAATTTCCATATCATTCGTTACTGGCCAAAATTATAAATTCGGTTCAATTTTGGAAGCTATTAGAAGCTATTAGGTGTAATGAATAATCAAATTTTTTCCAGCCATATTCGATGTCTATTTTAAAAGAAAGTAAGTTGAATTGTTCCATCAAAGTATTCGTTGTTACTTTCTATAACTTTAACCCCTTAACGTTCATGCCCGAGTCTGACTGTTTTAAAATACAATATTTGTTTAATCCAACGGTTTGAGGGATGATAATATTTATTTTCCTTCAAATAATACATTAGATACAACATTGTAATTGACAAGAACCGTATTTTTATAACCAAATCCAACAAAGAAAACTGATCATTGTTGGTTAACCCGAAAAATATAAGCGTTAAGGGGTTAAGCCATCTTTCAGGCAGTTGATGAATTCCATCTCGGAAAAATTTTACGTTTTTGGACCCGATTAAGTCGTCAAGACATTTTCGGATCTCATCTACTGATTGGAAGTGCATATCGGATAGGGTGTGTTGCATCGATTGGAACAGGTGATAATCAGATGGAGCAATGTCTGGTGAATACACCGGGTGCTACAAGACGTCTCAGCCAAGACTCATTATGGTGTCTTTTGTATGGAAAGCAATATATGGTTCAACAATTTCACTGGGCGTTCTTCTTTGCCAGTATACGAACGTTTTCGTTCCAATGCTTGACTGAAGTAGATTAATTGACGTTGATAGCAATCTACAGTAACTGTTTCACCCGGTTCCAACAACTCCTAACAAACCACGTCCTTGATATCCCACCAAATGCAGAGAAGAACCTTCTTTCGTACAGGATTGGGTTTTGCAACCGATGTTGAAGCTTCGCCAGGATTTACCCATGACTAGACTGCGGATGTTTATGCATTTATGGGAAATTTTAATCCTCAAAAAACTACAGAATACATTTAATATACAAAAATATAAGAAATACTTAAAGTAAGATACGAATTATTATATTTAGGGGTTGAGACTCTGCAAAGCTTCCGTTTCATTAATTCTATTAATAAAAATGTGAATTTGCATAAAGATCCGCAGTCTACCCATGACTTTCTGCGTTTCTGATTGTCATAGAGTATCCACCCCTCATCTCCCGTAACGATTTTCCACAAGAAAGACTTTCGACGCTGCTTATTGGGAAGAGAAAGACACGCTGCCACTCGTTGATTTTTGTTGGTTGCAGTGAGCTCAAGAGGAACCCATTTTCCTTCTTTCTGGATCTTTCCCATCTCACGTAGGCGTTTGGAAATCTTTTGCTGGGTTACTTTTAACTGTTCTGCAAGTTCTTATTGCGTTTGTGCCGCATTCTCAGCGAGCAGTTGTTCCAAATCATCGATGTCGCTCTTTCGGGGGCCTCCAGGTCGTTGTTTGTCGATTAGACTCAAATCACCGCTTTTAAACCGCATAAACCAAAATGTGCACACATCATACAATACAACACCTTCATCGAGAAAGGAACAAATTGATTCGCATGCTCTTGCAGCATTTCTCCCTTGTGATATGCACCTTATTTGTCGCCATTTTTGACTCTACTCAATTGAATACTTTTGAAGATTATGTTGGGCCTTTCGCTAAACTATCTTTTGTTTTAACTAGCTATATGTCAACACTATATGACCGCTAAAGAACGGGAAAATCTATCGACTTTAAACTTGATTTTATAACTGCTTAAGGGGCCTTTCTATTTTGTAGGATTTAAAAAATCGTATTTTTTTTTGCATTTTCTTTTGGTATGTAGTCTCGAAAATATGTCTACCAAATATTAAATTGAATTTTGGAAAACTAACGAAGTTATATAACAACTAGACGTGAAACTTAAAAGCTGTTTTTCTCGAATCTACATTTTTCGGCACTGCGTATGCGATAGCAAAAAAACTATTCAAGATATCAACATGAAATTTATACAGTATCTTTAGAACTAGTTTCCCTATAGCATGAACTAGGATAATTGCGATATATGCAATACTTTTTCTTTTATTAACAGAAAAGCAGTCGAATATATGAAAATAATCAGTATTTTTTCGTAAAATAGCTACCACTTTGTCATTTTTTGTTTTTTTTTAATAGATCCTACATGCTATAACCACACTCATCTATATTAAGAATATCGTTGGTTTTTGGATTTCGGATAGTTCATAATAACTGTTGTTTGTTGATCAACAAAAACAGCGTAATCAATAGATATTATGCGTTGAAAAAATTCGTAAATATAGCTAAATATATAATAAATGTATCTACAAAACCCGGAATTAATCGCTCTTTAATAGCCCGCAAAAAAAAATCGGAAAGAAACATGTATTTTTCGTGCCTACAAGGTAGAATGGCCCCTTAAGATAATTTGGATCATTCATTTGTACACCTAATATTATCAATATTCTTTGAATGAATAATACAAAAAATATACCGGATTGAGTACAGCAGCGTGGTAACCACCACCAGGTCCTAATTGGATGCTGGAAACTGCACTCTGTTGTGAACCGCTAGTACTGGTAGAACTGCTAGTACCAGTACCTTGGGCTGAATCGGTGTTTATGCGATTAGCTGTATCGAAGATCCTGTTAAAAAGGAGCTCGTATTAACTCACACGATTCAAGTTGATTCAAATTCAATTGATCCTTTTTTACGATTCGAAAGAGTACAGTAATCCCTCGATATAAGCCACAAACATGCGTGAGATCGCGTGAAGAAACGAACGTGGAAGTAGCAAACGAATAAAACTAGCTCAATTTACCAAAAAGTTAAAAAAACTCTTCATCAAAACATTTATTCGTTTTTAAATTAGCAACGAATTCAGCGAATTATCGTGACTCATCGTATGTATTGTTGATTGTCACCCGTTACTTCACCACGTTTACATTGTATTCACATCTGACAAATGACAAAAAATAATAATACCATGTCTCTTCGACGAGGAACAAAGTGTATTCAAGTGCTGTAAAAAGATTAATGATTCTTTTCATGGGCAGAAAACGTGTTCACGTAAGAACTGAAATTCGTCGAATAACTGAATCAAGTTTTTGTTTCGAAATAACCGTAATTGAACGTATGGAACGTAGAAAATAAATTAGTCTCGTCTATTGTTCGAAAATTTTATCCGCGTAAAAACTTTATCTCTTTCTTGCGCAATTCGATCAAAAATATGTTTACTGAAGCTTTGGAACGTACTGTTGTTGCTGTCTTTGGATCTGGTCCTGTAACCGTCTCCAATTGTCCTGCATATGCTGCTGGAAGCCATTAAAATCGTAGGTGGGGAACGCGAAACCTGGATCGTAAAATGGAGCGTCTGTAAAAAGTAAAAAACGTGTCAAGAATGTTTTCGAAAACCATGATCGTGCAAAATGTTCCTACTCTCTTCGAAAATCGTGCGATTGCGCCGTGGTATGTGGATACGTTCGTACAGAGATTACAAGAAAACGTGTTGAATCAATGTTCATGAAAAATCGGGAAATATTTAAAAAATTTATGATTAGAACCGATAATCAAGAATTAATTTAACACATTTCTCATTCTACAACGTTTCCACGATAATGCAATTGTTACCCCTTCGACACTGAGGGAAGTAGTCGCATACTGACAAAACTTTGCAGTACTAGTATCGAACGTGTCAAATAGCGTACAACTATCCTATGTAATTATTCTCAAACTTCGAAATAGAGTTACAGCTCTACAAACTGCGTTCCCAAGAGATACTTCGAAAGACGAGACCGTTTCGTTGATCTCGTCACCAAAAGGTAAGCTCGTTTCTCGCCATCCCCCGCGTGGCATCGATTCCCCCAAAACGCAGATCGTCACAGCGCATGCATGCATATTCCCCCCCCCCGACAGTCTTCAAGATGAAATCCTCGAATTCGAGATCGAGTTTGCCAGCTCACTGAACATTACCTCCTCCAAAGTAACCGAATCCTCCAGGGTTAATATAGTTGGGTACATTGGCTGCTTGCGGGGTGTTGTCGACGAACGCTCCACGGTCGGTTATCGACGGTTTCGCGTAGTTTGGAGCGCCAAAAGCTCCGGAACTAGCGAAGGACGACGCCATGCCGGACCCACCACCGGTGCTGGTCGCTGTCCAGCCATAGCCGTCCGGGCCTGGTATAGAGTTGAAAGTAGAATCACCGTAAGGTGACACGTAAGCTGGTTCGTAACTTGACCCGACGAAAGGAGTATACGGGTAAGTTGGGTACGTGGAATAGATAGGATTCGCCTTCGATGGCATCTGTTTCCCAGGAAGCTTCGAATCGGGCTTCTTATCGGACTGTGGCGGCTCGTCCTTGGACGGGTCGATCCGCGAGCCTATGGCCGGCGCCGCGGTCGTCGACTTTGATTTTCCAGGATCCGTTGGCTTCTTTGGCGGAGACGTCGTCGCGATGGCCTCATCCGACTTGGTCGTAGGACTCGATTTCGGTGCTGTTGAACTCGAACCAGGCGTGGAACTGGTTGTAGGATCTGAATTGGACGGGGACTCGGTCGTGGGATCTGGTTTTTTAGTGGTTATCGCGGGACTGGTGGTGCGTGCAGAGGCAGTGGACTTAGGCGTAGCGGTGCTTTCGACAGTGCTCGAATCGACGGATTCTCGCTTCGTCCTCGACGGCCCGTCGAACTCCATGACACTCTCTTCCAATCCATCTTCGCCGATGAAAAGAAACAAAACACCAACGTTCGTATCGTTAACTGTTCCCGGGCAAACGCGTTGCTAGATATTTTTGGATCCACGTTTGTTATCGACGACATGCTTTTATCCAGCAGATTCCGTGGGCGCCTCTGACCCCACCGGCTCCTTCACCAACACGCATGCATGCGAGAAGATAGTTTCGACACACATAAATGTTAACAGAAGTATCGCTTTTTCGTTTGAAACGTTTAGTCCAACGGTTACGGTGGTTCCGTGCAGTTTGAGAGTATCGACGGTGTTCGAGTAACATAGAGACATGCAGGAAATATTTCCATGCGACACTGACTCGGCCAAACATATATTCGAATGATCATTTCACGGACCTAACCCAGACCTGCTAATTTCCTCGTTCGGAGACGTCGGGATTTACCCAACCGACACGTACAATGAGACGCGGACGGCTATAGAGTGGAAAGTAAAGAACGTTAGTCGCGGAGCAGGAAATAAACGAAGGTTAGACGCTGTCCAACAGATTTAGAAATTATGAGACCGCTAACGTGTGGTCGTTCGACAGAAATGAAACTAGGAGAAAGACAGAAACGGTAACTTTCTTTTTAAGAAACTTACGAATTTTTAAAATTATCAAATAATGTTGCGAAGTGCGTGACGAGAAATGATACAAGCGAAGGAAGTCGAAAGAAAGTATCGTGGTAGAGTTCAAGGTAGAAAGTAAACGAGGTCACGGTTCACAGAAATGTCGCGACAAGTTATCGTCGTTCGTCGTACGCACTACATGCACAACGTTTACACACAAAAGTGAGTGCACTGGAGAAGTGACAGTGATTACGCATGCGAGAAATGATCGATTATCGATACGACGCTCATTTTTACACAGATTAAGCGGTAATCGATTATTTTCAAACCATCTTTCGACGACGATTATTACAAATTATGCAACCTATGTTTCTTTAACGTCGACACTCGGCATACTCTGCAGTATTAATAAAAATTTAACAAGTCAATTATTTATTTATTCGTAGCTTATTGTTTCTAGAACTCTATTACTATTTTTTTTGTATTCCTACACGCGATTAAATCAAATCAACTTGTAAATTGGCCGGTTAATGGAATAGCAGATGAATATATTTAAATCGAGGCGCTAACGTTTATCTCTCCAAAGAAATCATCGATCGTATAAACTCCTCGCTGTCGACCAGTTTAGTCGAACGCAAAAAATGATTGCAAATCTGTTTGACGTACGGTTCTCCTTCGAATAACCGATTTCTGCTTCCCGCTTAATCCTTCCATCGACGCGCCATAAATCAGAGCTCGCGGACCTGTTTCTCGCCATCGATGAACGTAAACATCCTTCGCAACGGTTCCCATTGGCCGTCGAAAATTTATTAAGACCTCGCTATTAACGTTTCGCAATTATCCGAAAATTTCCGTGTCCCGTCGCGAGTCCGGTTTAAATGCACAACGAACGTTACGCAACTTATTGTTGGACACAATTTTTATTATTCTCGACTTACGCAATGGAAGACGATTTCTTTGGAAATGATACTCGAACCGTTGAGGCTGTTAAGCAACACTCCTACGAGTCGTATCCATCGACGAACGTGTTAATTAAAGAGCGTAATTGCAAACAAAATATTGCGTCACGATTATGTTTAAATCGGTCCCGTTGCCGTGTCGACTTTTCTTTATTTACAGATTATTAGCTACGAGTACGGATTTTATCAACACAAAACTGAGCCTGGGAGTATTCGAATAATTCGATATTTCGTAACAGATTATTGAATGAAGAAATAAAAAAGAAAAAGAAAATTAATTTAGAAAAGTAAAATACAAACGATCGGTACAAAAGGCAAGGTAGAGCTTTCTTAAAATTCAAACTCAAATTCAAATTCAAATTAAAGAATATAAATTATTTGAAATTTATTAATATTCAAAAGTTTCGAAGCTCCGCGTCTATTTCAATTTATTTATTTTGTTCGTGAACCGCTCTTTCGAGGTCGATGAATTTCATTTGTACTCCACATTGCTTAATATTCCGATGTCAATATACTCAAACGTTCAAATGGCATTCGAATAATATTAATCGAGTATGTGGATCGCCGAAACGTTCGGAAATATTCGAAAACTCTCCAGTCCCGGGAAAGACAAAGTATAGTGTTCACGTGCAACAAGTTCGTGCATATTCACGTGCTAGCGGCAAGTACAGTTTCTCCGTAATTGCTCCTACAAAGCAGGCGTGTCTGTGCGTGTACTGAAGTCGACTACTCACTTCTACGCATCCTGATATTCGCTGAACGTGCTTCGCCGAAAGATCCTACGATGCCAACGAGTACAATCAACGCCACGATCCTGATATCCATTTCAACGGGAAACAATCGATCGTAACAGCGCTCGTAATAGGAAATTTATACTTGTTGCACTGTCTGTCACTATTGTAATTCACGAATTCGAACGATCCTGACGTTATCGCTGTTTGCACGGGAATGACTGACTCAATTCGCGCCTCCGTCACCTTATATAGTCTTCGCTCGTCGTTGCTTCCTCACCTCCGGTCGCTTCCGCGCTTTCCGCGCGCGCGAAAAGTTCTACGAACTACGATATCGTGTTTACAATTTATTTCAGACCTCGGCGATTTTCTTTCGTTACATTTTTTATTGCTCGCGAGAAAAGAAAGTGAACGCTGCGAAAACAATTTTTGTTCGCTGAAAAATATGTTTTAATTATGATTTACATGAAAAGACGAACATTTTCACATAGAACGAAATGTAGCAGAGCCCCCCACTATTTCTTATTACGTTAATAAAACGTTTCATTATAATGATCAGAATTCATGTCGATCCAAAGAGTTTAAACCGAATAATTATGCTGGGAAGAACTTAGAATCTAGACTTAGAATCTTATCAAATTTTAATATCAAACCAAGAGCCTGAATAAATTATTTCGATTCGCGTTTGTAAATTATGTACAGTTTACTTTGAATTGAAAACAAGATCTGTGATTCGCATTGACTTTGTACAATGATCTACTAACCTTGCTACTATTACGTATTGTATATCGAAATCCAGTTTTCCTCGTTATCACGTTTTATCCATTGCAACTCATGCATCGTTTCCGATAAACCCGTGATACCGAAGAAAAAGATCGAAGCAAACAGTAAGTAGTTTCACAGTTATGTTTATGAATTAATGTCGGTTTAAAATATTCGTTCAGAAGTCCCGTTCGATCCCGACAGAAATTTCAATGATTGCTTGCGTCATTGTTAAACGGCGTTCGACAATAATTATCGTTCGATCGAATCGCAGATTTCGACTGTGGCATTTTTTTCGTCAATTTTCATTGGGCTAACGATCCAGATCCAATTATCGACATCTTCGAAGGAACGAATCACAATGTTTAAAGCATAATGAATTGACTTATCATTCGTTGTTCCTATCGAAGAATTACGCTCCCGCGATAAATAATAATCGCCACGTCGAAACGTAATTGTTCTCACATCCTGTTTTGCGTGACGAGCGATCGAAGATAATTGAGGCCAATCGTTCGGCATTTTTTTATTTTCAAGAAGAACAAAATCGTGCATAAAGATGAATAAGCAAACGATTGGTGTTGCTCGAATGGTTAGATCGATGAATCGATTAGGATGATAGTATGGTTGATTAATGATTGGGTAGCAGGTAACAAATTGATACCTTTTGCACCTACGTTCGTGGAAACTGTCATTAACGACGCGGTCCCTTCGCTGGAATAAACATTGTTGCATAAGTTTACGGAAAAATTCGTAATTCACGAAAGATTGCTCTTGGTCACGATTTAATTTGGATGATCGATAGAGATACTTCCAAAGGACTAACGCTGATGGAAAGAAAAGCTGATACTATTTCACAAATGATACATAAGGTCTTCTAACTTTCAAGAACATTTATTTTCGTAGTTACGATCCTGTTTAACATATTTCGTAGTACACACTCTGGGGGACATTAAATCTGTCGCGTAGTTACGGGGCATATATTACGGTACTAGACTTCCGGTTGGTGAAATGACACTGGAAACGCCACGTTCTACTAATTGGGAGTCAATACCTTCGAGTGTGCATACTAACATAGACGCTTGCTGTGTTCCAGTAATCGTAGTACATTTTAACATAAAATAAAAACATAAGCAAATTTAAAGAAATCTCTTACTTAATAATTCGTTCGAACGGAATCTCCAACGAATACTTTTGCCATCGACTGTTTGCATCGGTAGGCGTCCTGCGTCGACAAATATTTTCTACTCGCCGGACGATGGAGTAGGATGAAAATTTTTTTTCAATTTTTATTAATTTCGCGTAAACAGTTTGTTCGATAATTCGCAGTGACTCGAATCAAAGCAGATTTACGTAAATCCTTGTCCGTGCTGGTGCTAGATAAATTTCTTGCCTCGAAACGGCCGAATGACGCTGCCGGGGAATACCCAATCGCGAAAGTTGATTACCTTCTGCGTATTAATTCGCCGTGGCATCGGAACGGCCGTTCGTTCCGTTTCACGGAGGCGTCCATTGTCTCTGAAGGCGAGGAACATCTGCCTCTCGGGTTCAATGTCAAGACATGTAACCTAGCTACGACTCGAGCATGTACAGTGGATAGAAAAAACCTATTGACACATCTCCTTCTCTCGAAACGACACATTGAAGTCGGAAATTTCTGTCCATCTGCCGTGTAATTATTTCAGGTATCCAAAACGAAATTTTTTTGCCACCAAGACAGGAGGAAGTTGTTAACATTAATGGTAATTACATTGTAATTTAAATATTTCTCGCTTCCCGTCTCCCTGCAAATGCCATATTCATCCAATATTTCGCTTCCTCGTTTCAAAGAGTGTTAACAGGACGACGTTTCGTTACGCAATAGACGATAATCATGAAATCTTGTGCATTACCGTTATCAATCGCGATAAGTACATTTTGGGGTAAAAGAAACCCTTAGGTGAACCGATACGCCTGTGTTTCGAGACCACTTATTATAAGTGAAAACAATATGCACCAGAAATGCCTCAGTATCGTAAAGATAACGCAGTTCCTAATGGTCAGGACAGGATCTACCAGTGAGCAAAATAATGGGTCCTGCTAATGGGTTCAACAAAGGTATATAAATCGACCATCGAGGGCAGAAGCTTCAGTAAGGGCTTTGTTTTTGTGTAACTTATGAGGAAGTAACGACAAACTTCAAGACATCACGATGAAAGTGATAGTTTTGGTATTCACGATATTCGTCGCGTTGCATCGCGATGTCAGAGGTAACTTTTTTGACGATTAGTTATTTATTACTTAGGATGTAGCTTAACTAAATTTTTAAACGCGATCGTTTTCAAATTGCGCTGCCTTTAACATTCAAATTATCCAAGCTATTCGTTTGAAATAATTGATATCCATGCAGCTAATTTAAACCGACGACAGTCTCAACACCTTCGATATTCGATGATATATGCAATGTAATCGATAACAATGACTAAAGCGTGTTTTTCAAGAATACGAGTAACATGAATCATTCGTGTGTTTAACTAAAAACCGAGAAATGCGTTTGCATCATTTAATAAGGAAACGTAAAGTCGATTAAATTATGATCGATCGTACGTTCCGATGATTTAATGCCACGAAATGCCCGATCGCCTGACAGTTCGTGGATATCCAATGACGCATATAATTTTCAAACAATGTTGTAATATATAATAGTACTGTTCAAAGGTGTTCACGTTCCACGAGACGGTAATAAAACAGCCATAGCATCTGCGTTACTTCGATCTTCGACTAATAATCGTGTTTAACTCGACATATTTTGAATTCAATTACGACCATCGAAATGTTGAGGTTGGATTTTGGCGCGTGGGCGGCGTTAAGAAATCGAAGGAACGAAATTCCCATAGCGATTAAAGAAAACTATGGCTATGTGTGTTTCAGGTAACCCGCTCTCGAACCGTTGGTCAGTCAATATTGAAACTAGTCGAGTCACAAGGACGGTCAAACCAGAATCAACGGTTCAGGCCCGTTCCTACAACTCCTGGATGCCGACATTTTCGATAAGCGGCTTGTTTAAAGACGAGGACGATGACGCCATAGCTACGTTGGGAAAGAAGATTTCAGCACTGGAGAAGTCCCAGAAAGAAATTCGCCAACTTTTTAAAGAATTCACCGAAGGTAACACGACAATTGCAAGCAACAAGAGTGACAGACGTAATCAACGATCTATCACAATTTTTAAAATGTGTTCATTCAACAGCTACTAAGAAGACATCTTGCGATGCTGCATTGGCTCCGGGAACTAGCAATAATCGAACGCAAGGGCAACCTCAAAATACGAAGGACGAAAAGGGGAAAGAAAAAGTTGACGCGACTGGAGATACGAAGAAAGATTTGGCGCTAAGTGTTCCTGAAACGACAAATGGCGACAGCGTGGGCGAAATGAAAGAATCGACGCTGACACCGATAAACAATGACGGTGTACAGAGTACTACTATGATTGTGAACGAGCCTGATATGGGTGAAACGATACCAACGTTAGCGAAACCGCAGGTTGAAAATGGTTTACAGACCGGAAATTAGGAAGGAAACTGAAAGTGAAAATGGTTCTTCAAATTGCCAAGAAGAGTAACAGCGCAAGAAAAATAAGCTGAATCCTCCTTTTTGAGAAGCTGGGAAAGGATATTTTTATTTTTATGTATTAATGTACCCATTTTTGGAAAAGGATCCAAGAAAGGAAAGGTCGACTGTTATTAATACATTGAAACACCTACGATTTATATAAGAAGACATGAATTATTGTTATCGTCGAATGATAAGGTTCAAATGTTAATCGTTTGTAAATTTTTAGACGAAAATAAAAATTAGCACTGTAATAAAATTTGTAAATAACATTGAAGTAAATCCGATCGTGTCTAATAGCATTACCTTCGCGGGGCCTTCGAACCAATTCATCCGGTGAAAGTAACGACCTCTTATTTCGTCTGTTATCTTTTGATACGTGTAACTGCATTAAAACCGTAGATCGATTTCGATTAACGTAAAATCTGAAAAATCTGATTGGAAAAATGCGTTCTAAATCACTGCGGAATACAAGGTCAATCAGTATCGAAATAATTATAGATCGTGACATCAGTCTCGTTTTCTAGATTTCTATTCGGTACCCACGAAACTAATATGGTTAAAAAAGGAACAGACATTTCAATAATTTGAATTAATCAGACCAAAGAAAACCGTCCAAGATCCTTAATAAATTGTTTCACATTTGTTACTGAACAGTAAATTCTAGAAAGTGTTCGATAAATTGTAAATTCGTTGTCTACTTTCGTTCTCAAGATTACATTAACCCAAATTGATGGGTGTTCACCGAAAATCGCATTTTTTTATTTACGTGCCATACGACTCATCATGCGATTGAAACTCCGTTTGTTCGAAGAGTATTACGTCGATGGACACACGCTGAATATCAATAAGGCGTCTAAGGTCGTTCATACTTATTAAAAAAGGACGAAGAGCTGGCACGGAGAAGTCAGAACTCTGTTAGACATGGCCAGAACAAGTCTCTGCATCGTACCAGTGTGTTTAGTGTTGTTGGTCGTGTGGGCAGGTAAAAATTACTATTTCCATAAGCTGAAAATATGTGTCTCGCGCGATGCGTTCTCGTCTCGTAAATTTCTGAGTGTACAGTGATCGAACCGCGATAAATCCGTAAGCAACAGACATTCTGATGCGTCTCAATCCGTAGATGATCGCACATTTCTTACGGGGGAGGACGAACGACGATGGAACACGCCACCGGAGCTCATACCGGAGCAAGTGAACGAAAAATCCGACGTGAAGAACGAACGATCTTTAACTATTCCGATCACGACAAATATAAACTTGAACACAGGAAACAATGCACACTCTTTGGGCTTCCAAGTAGGTCCCGAAGGCTTTGGATACTCCGAGAGCAACAGCTTCAACCATCCGTACGTTTTTATTATTAGAATGGCCGTGGTATAATCGAAAAGAAAATGATTCGACGATTTGAAGATAAATAGAAGTCACGGAATAACACGTTTCTTCTAACTTTGGCGTTTACATAGTTTTCCATAAACGCTCCTCGATTATAAATAATGAAGCAATTTGTTTCCAGTACCGTTTCGCAGAGTCAATCGTTGTCATTTGCTGCGGGACCGTCAGGAATTGCTGGCTCTATAAGTCAGGCAGCTGCCAACCAATATTATCCTGTTCATGGTAATCAAGGAATCGTTAATAATCAAGCGCCTGGTTTTGTTAACGGGGCTGCTGCTTCTTCGTCCGGGACTGTCCAAAATGGCCACGCAACGTCTTCCGCCTCGTCGAGCGCAGGAACCATTGTGCTCTCGGAAGGCATGCATATCCGGTTCCCGGAACAAGGCCACAGACAACCGATCTGGACCAACATTCATCCGAATCATAATAATAACGGTAGGATGCATCAATCAGAAATGTTTACTGTATTCCACGATTAGTTTTATTAGTTCGTAATGCAAGTTCGAGACGAATAAAAGATCAACTGACAAATTGGGAATGAATAAAATTAGTTTTCGATATGAGTTTCGAGTAACACGGTGTTTAGAAACATGGAACCATCTTTAATGATCGATGGACTGATGATAGAAATTTTTCAGGTCCTCAAGCTTCGCGTGTGCCGAAGTTGGATATTACCATTGAACCGCAACAACATCAACGCCGTGAACCAATCATGTTACATATTTCGACGCAACAGACGCAATGGGAAAATAGAAAGCCAACTGTCCATATACGCAAATGGCATCCTACTTACAGATCATACTACGATGGTATATAATTGTGAAGAAACATTGAAGATTCGTTTGTTAGATAAATTTTTAATTGACTCGACGGTATCGAATTTCAAGTATTTATCCCGTTGTTGATAGAATTTCAAACAGCCCTTCATCTAACCTTACTGTATGACAACCCAAAACTTTGCGGAAACTTAATATTTTTTAACTATAGCACAATTCATGTATATCGCAACTGAAAGTTAATATATTTATTGTACAAAAATATTCCCTCCTTAAAAATAGTAATATATGTATACGTATACGATTATATACTACATGTAAATAGTAAATGTAAGGAATCAATAAAGAAAAATAAAGCAAAAGAAATATTGCTGTTGTTATATTATATTTTCGGAAAAGAATTTTTTTCTCGAAAGTGGGCAGGATTTCGGGGGTATATCTATTCACAAAGAATGATTGTAATTAACCCCTGCAGCAGAAAATAATTTTTCCAGAACGGTTTGAAAATTTGTAATTTCGCCGAAAAATTTCGACACCTACTCGAATTTTTTTTTCGAAAACGCGTAGGATTTTGGGGGTATGTCTATCGATCAAAAATGATTGTAATTGACCCCTTCAGCAGAAAATAATTTTTCCAGAACGATTTGGAAATTTTTTCTTTTCGTTAAAAAATTTGAGAAATTTGTACGTATTGTTTTGCTAAATTTCATACAGTATTACGTACTGCCTACACTCAAATATTAATTTCGACGATAGTTAAAGAGAAAGATTATCAAGAATCACGAAGAAGGGTTCACTAGCTTTAAGATCTGAATTCACAAAATTGGTCAAGTGCACTAAGCGATAATTCAAGTACTGCCAACCAAATGCCGAAGGATATCATCTACAAATTGGGCGTTTCAGCCTCAATGGAAGAGCTAAGGGAACAACTCATGTGACTTTGTTGAGTTATTAATCGATCTAGGAAATTTGTATTTCAAAAAAATTGGAAACTACGTTAACGTGTCAATAATTCGATTGAAAAAATCTGAGGGAGGCAGTTGCCTAGAGTTCCTTGTAACTGGGTTGATATGTGCTGTTGGAAGGGTGGGTCGCTCTCGAGAAAATGGAGGGTGGTCCGACTAGCAGATTCCTGGGCTGATCGATGAAACGACCGGCGCATTGGATTTTCCGAGTGCAGCGCGCGCATTTCCATCTTTTCCAACAGAATTACGTCCTCTGTGTCTTTCAGTTAGTCACGATCCTGCCGCGGTGGTGCAACCCCCCGTTCGGAAAGTGCATACTACCCGACGAGAGCGATGCAACTGTGTCACTAGGACGAACGGCACGTGATTCTGCTGCCGACTACCGAATAACGCAATCGTGGAAACTTCGATGGATTCGATAAAAGCGTGCAAACATCTTCGTCAGGGGGAAAAATACTTTGCTCTCGGTGAATTCGTGATCCATTCTATTTAAATAACAGTACAGGTGCGTAGTTACGTAAGAAACGTTCGCGTTTCCAATCCAAGTGGAAACAATTTGTTGTAATATCGAAGGTAAATTGATTTGTCGGATGTCGCGGCTAGGTTTCCGATCTGTTGCAACGCAGAAAAACCAGCCGATGTCGATAGAACGTGAACGGAGGAATATTCTACGCTGGTGGGCCAACTGCTACATGTCAATGGACACCCTGTAATAAATAATTTTCGTCCGATCGTATGGTAGGAATCCTTTCCTTTTCGTATTTTCGATTCGCACGTCGAACGATCAAAGAGTTAAAAAATGGTTTCAGACGTTTATGCTAGAAACATGGATAAACGACGGTCTGTCGATGGCAACCTCCAGGAACAGGCTTTGCCCATTCCGGTTCAGATGTTCCTTTGGCGACAATTGAGGTACAATAATTGAAATTACGTATCCTAGAGCAATCGTGAGGCACCAAACTATCGTTCAAAAATAAATTCGAATTATAGTAATAAAAAACAGTAAATAAGAAACGTTGATTCTCTTGAATTTTTCTTAATTTTTTTTAATCATGATTTGATGTGTACTAATTTTATGAATTTCTTCATCTATTTTCATCCCCTTTAAAGGACACGTTAGAAAGAGTTTATTAAGGGATGTAAATATAGTAGAAATTGTTACACAACATTCAACTTAGTATTATTTAACGTAGAATATTTCTATTATTGTTCAGTATTGTATTTATGTTCGCAGACCGTTCATTCGCGCGAAATTGGGCAAGCTACACGAGGCGTCATGCACGGTAAAAATTAACACTGACTTTAGCCGACATTCCTCGAGTTGTGAAAGAAAGTTTGCAAAAGATAAATGTGTGTACTATATGTAGATTAATTTTCAAGTTGCGGATAATTAAAAATTGAACCCAGACGAGCAATATGTCTATGTATTATTCAGGAACAGAAACAAACCTAAAAGTTTCACTGAAATTCATCTAATAGCGTTTGAATTCATCAGGATCGTCTAGATTAAATTTCTATTTTGATTGTACAGCAGTGTTTGCAAGGTATTCGCACGCTACTAACATATATTTATAGAATAAATAAACTTCTACTCGTAAATCATCGAATCGTTCTTATGGAAATTTCATCCACTGTATTGTGCACCCCATATCGTTCTATTTTCATTCGTAAAGGGGTGAAAAATCATAGATCGCGAATTTCTTGAGACTTCGTGTGAAAAGTTCCTTGTCAACCACATCCCACGCTTTGTTTTCCAATACCTAATAGGGCTGTTGGAATACTCGTATATTCGAGTTTCTCGGTTCTATCGAACCACTTCGATTAAACCGAGGATTACTCGATTGGCATTTCCCGAGTATTTCGACAGCTCTAATACCTACCCGACCTGCACTAACAAAGTGACCTCCTGTACGCTGCCACGTGTCACCTGCAGTTCTGTCAACACGCGCCAGGCCATCATGTAAGTTCGCTGAGCCTGATGTCTGCTTGTTTTCGTATTTGCAAACCTACTTTACACTCGCTTTCCAATTACTTTGATTATACCACTAGAGACAATTTGTTATTTACGAACAATATTACCTACGTACAATTGTTTCCACGCATGTTATCGATACGAATACGAACGGCTGCTTCGAAAGGATTATTTTCTAAATGTAAACGTTTTGGCGTTTACTCTTGTGTTGTGTGTTTGACTGCATCTTTTATTACATCCTAACTTCGTGCTTTGGCATCCTCTATTTCCCTCGTAGTTTAATATTTTTAGAACATATGTAGTTTTCAATTGGAAAGGAAACTTGTTCTGCGTATTTATATTGCATATCTTTTACGTTATTTAAGTCTATCTGTATCTTGAGAAAACAATAACACGAGAAATTGAACGTTTCGATAGTGCCTAATTTCTTAGGAATATCATAGAAAGTATTTCAAACGTATGAGCATGTTGGCTAACGAAGAGATTAGGCTTTCACTTTCCAAACGTCACATTATACATTTTACACGTAGAATAACGTAACAAATTAACTTTTCTAAGTATTTACGAACAATTTCAGCAATGACGTCACCACTAAACACGTAGTTTCGTTAATCGTGCAATGACAAAACGTGTAACTATAGCTTTGCATCGTAGTATTGTCGCAAGTACTCCTTTTATTCCTCTTTCTTACTATTTAAAAATTCTATTTCTTAAACGATCGAATATTAATTTCAATTTATTGCGTTTCAATGCATACGCAGGAGACAAAGGAAGCTTGCACGGTTAGTATTTGGAAACCATAAACGTACCACTACAATCTCTATAGGAAGAGATTATTAATATTAGTGGAAATTGCACAGTAAATTGAATATTGATTGATTGCTTCCTAACGTTCAATAACCTTGGAGCTTTTGTTTGACAGTCGCTCGAGAAAGTGTTGGTTCAGAATCTCCGCAATGATTTGACACCCTCTTTGAGCCTGATTCTGGGCAGCGTGCCACGATGGCATTTGATCCAAACCGCCCTTCCCTACATTCTTCATGCCGCCGCCAATCTTCTGCACAATAGGTGAGTTGCCTTTGTGCCCCCTTTCTAAGAAACGTTACTACCTTCTTTCTAACGCGACAACTGCTTTCGTTAATCCTCAAGGAAAGATTTCCAAACCCTCGGAGTCATGGAAACGACGCTCCTTTACATTCTTCATTGGATACTTCTCGATGCTGCCGAAGAATGCTCTGAAACCGAAGCCGATCCTGGAAATCCCTTTTATTATTTGTTTTCTGTGCCCACTGTGAGCGTGAGTAATCCTTTATTAATTCAATTAAAAATTATTAGACCTAAAATTTTAAAGCTCATAAAGTTATTAGCTGTACGTAGACGAGTATGGTTCTTTTAAAAACTCAAGAAATTTCTTCTGCGCTTGAAACTTAACTTAAAATAGTAATTCTAATTTTATTTTTCGTAGCTGTTCGTATATCTGTTTGCACCTTTGTGCAACCATCTGAAAGACATCGACTTCAAGACTAATCTACGATTGGAGAACGGTTTGAAGATATGGTCGGCCATGTACGAGTGCCGTCATCCGGATACTCCTTGTTTCACTACTCACTGTCGAATCAAACCGCAAGCTCTGTGGAACCGATCCTTCAAATCGTCCAAACAGCATCAAATGTCTGACGACGTGTTCGTGGGGGAAAGTGAGCTATTTTCGTTGTAAATAAAAATTATGCCTCGTAACTTCGAATTGTAATACCCTGTTGAAGATGTTTCATGTAGCTCGAAGAGTCTAGAAATCGACATTTATCAGTCACGATGTTTTGAGACTTTTCTTGAGTAACAAACTGCTTTGATCGTTGCAAAGTGACTTATTATGCAATTTTCAGACGTCGAAAGTCCACCCAGTCAATCGGCTAGTGCGTTTTCGGACCAGAGTGCTGAGAAACCTTTGTCCACCAAACAGCAGGATGAAGATGTAAGTATATAATACAAATTCTTAAAATTGTGACTCTAGTAGACTTCCCATGTATTAAAGAGCACTATCAAAGTAACTTTTATTTAATTTTATTTCCAGAATTCTTGGGTATCGTCGCCAAAGGACACCGTATTCCCGGAAACGATTCCCGAAGAGAGCTCTGGCGCCGAAGACGAGCACGTAGTGAGTGTTCCCAATGATTCCAATCAATTTCATGTACTCGAACCGATAAAGAAATAGATCAATAAATATTCTCGTTAGGTTATCTTCAGACTACCGTCCCTCAGCGAGTCGGAAAAGGCGCTAGACGGGGTAAAGGATATTTCTATACGATTTTCACGATCATCCTAGGAAGAATCGTTGAATTCTATCGTTATTTCAGGGCGAGGCTAGCATCTTTCACGTAGCCATGGGTCGAACCAACGATTTCTCCAAGTCTACTTTGACGATCGAAAAAGTCACAGCAATTTCGGGGCTGAACATTTGCAGACAATATCAAGAAAAGCCTCTAAGCACGGGGTCAGTCGGCTATTTCCATAGATTCCTTTAATTAGCTACATTTAACCGTAACCGTAAACGAGTCGTTCGGTTGATAGAGACACGGAGAAGGAGAAGGTGGATAAATGCCAGAAAACGGAAAAGGAGGCACAAGATGCTACGAAAACGGAAGCTGTAACGGCGCAACAAGTGTCTCCTAGCGATTCTGGTCCTGCTGGACTGATGAGTAGTCATGGTATAGACACGGACGTCAGGGCTGCCACCTTTCTAGATGTAGCCGTTCTGAGGTGTCTCTTCATCCCTCAGTGGCAGGAGGAAGGCGTCCATTGGGGTCTGCAATTTTTATACCACCGGTAATAGCTCGTATATTTATTTAATATTATACACAGAATGTCCTTTTTATCTTGGGATCATTTAAGTCGAGATTTCAAGGACGATTTTCTAAACGGAATGGAATATTTTTAATAAAACGAGGAGAACCATCTAACATACTGATAAAAGTCTGCAAGCACCGTTACTTTCATCGAAAATTTATTATTATACACTTTAATTAGAAATTCCTTCATCCCCACAATCTAATTTGACAAATTACTCTAGATTACGCATGATCAACGAGGAGACATCGGTGCAGCAGATGCCACGTCGAAGAAGCAATTCTTTGCCAATACCAAAGATCGAAGTATCGATTTATCAGAGTCCCGAAAGTAAGAAGAAGGACGTGGCGAAGGATTTCATGGAAGTGCCAGACGTTCGAGACGTTTCCGTGCCAAGTGGTACTTGCAAATAAGCTTTTCTCCTTTTATTCGAAACCTCTGAATCGATACTCTTTCTGTATTTCGTGTGTGTAACCATCGCAGGTCAGGATACCGACACAAATCACACGAGACGAGGCAGCGAGAAGAAAAAAAGAATGAAAATGGCTGATCTTAAGGCGTTTGTCGAGACTAAATTGTTGTCAAAGTCGGAAAAGGCACTCGAGAAAATTGGTCAAGACGATCCCAAAATTTTGTTCGAACAGGTAGGTCGATTAGATAGTGTTTCTTTGTACATTCTTTATCAGACAAGTGTTTCGTACGACTTACAACGTTTTTACACTCAGCAAAACGCTATAAGAAACTTAGGGATATTCGTATCTTGTCTCAGGATAGCCGTAGAAGCCTTGACACGGGCGACGATCATTTATCGAGGCCCACATCGACCATTTCGAAAATCTTTGAAGCGAAGGACGTTGATCATATGAAATATCCTACAAACCTGATAAAAGGGAAGAGCATGCCGAGTTTAAGGTACGCAGTTTCCAGACACAGTAAAACGTATTTCTATACTTTACTTTATAGTCATTTTCTTTCGTCGATTTTATTTTTTTTCGTTCGTCGTAGCTACATACATACACGCGTATTCTCACACAGCTTTGGTTTACGTTGCGTCTTTTCCATTCCATTTCTTCGTTCACGTCCCTTAAACTTTGCACGGATATCTGTGCAAAGTTTATATAGCGTTTCAAAACGACCAGAATAGTGCTGAGAATTCGTGTGTAAGTACTGTGTGTACGCGAGAAGTTGGCTAGACAGAGGAACGCGATTCTGATTGGTGTTCGAATCCCCACTCTGGAGCATAATAACTCCCCCTCCACCATTGGCTCCTCCCACTAGCCATCTTCTCACCGTCGCACAGTACGTACGCGCGCATAGATCTTTGGTAGAATAGTAAATGATTTAAGGGGGTTTGATGACGTGTTTAACTAATTAAGAGAATGATTTACAAAAAGTTTCTTGAAATTTCATTGATACCAGTATCGAACCTCTTTAAAGAATAAAGTTGAAATAACTCGTATTACAGAAGGATGTAGTTACGCTTACGCTGAATGCGATAACGATCAAACGTTTCGTTAGACCGATAACATTTCTCTTTAAACGTAGTTTATAATCAGTGTTGGGTAGCTTCGTTCATATGATTTTAATAACCCATATATCTACGTTTTTTAAGGCAATTTTCTATGCATGTAAAACGATATTAAACTTTATTTGCCATAAATTTTATAATTAAAAATAAGTCCTCTTTGATACCGTAAAATTTTTATACGAAATACTTTTTCACAAAACGCGTACTTTAGAAATTATTCGCGAGGGATAGGCAAACTATGCGGCTCTGTATAATTCTTATCGTATCGCTCTTTTTAAAAATTAAATTCCCAATAAATTCTCTTTCTTCAATTTCTAGTGATTCCTTTCGAGAATTGGAAACGCATTTGTTCGGTGTGCAAGAAATATTCGCATACTTTCACCCAACACTGACGGTTACTTTGAACTTTTACACGTACAGAATATCCGAAAACTTTGTTACATCAATGAACATTGAAATTCTATATAAATCTAAGAATCGAAGAATCGTGTATCGTTTTTTAATATGAAATTTCATTCAGTTTCGACTTAAATGGGGCACTTTGTATATAATAATTCATTAATCAGTTTAAAAAGAAATAATATAGTATTAGGTGGCTCGTCAAGCAAATATTCTAATTTAATTACCTCGAAAACGAAGAATCGCGTGAACAAAGTTTGTTCCCCATTTTCGATTTACTTTTTTACGTAGGATCAACTCCTCCTCGATACTGAGGACACCCTGTACAGTTACGTGCAAAGTATTTTAAGAGAGTTACTAATCATCGAAGATATTACACTACTCGTTCAATTTATATGCACATTTAAAAAATCAACAGTTTCAGAAAAGCGTTACAGAGCTTCGATTTTTGTCACTGTAAAGAATTTGCTTATTTTCATGTGCAACACAAGTTTTGGACCATTGCATAATTTGATAAGCTCTTCGTTAAAATTGATGCATAATGTGTTTCTCTATGTGTGTCTTTTTTTTATCTCTCATTCGCCTTTTCACACCTGAACTCGTGCTCAGCTGCTTGATTAACGAGCTGACCGCGGGAGGGTAAGTCATTAACGTCACTCGGAGGAAGTTCCGTACTGCAAGTTCGGTTTACACGCTTCTTTTACGAGCTTCCTGCTTCCGGTAGGGCGCACTAATTATCCTTAAACCACACACCACGCCCTAGTCGCCTGGACACGTTGACAAGAAACAACGTAAACACGTCACTCTGTCTGCTTTTCCTTTAACTTTCTCAAAAGTTCACCAATCGCCTGGTTATTAACACTTTGCCAAACATAAAAGTTATGGAAAAGCGTAAAATATATAAAATAACACAAAGAGGGATTTTTTCCCCGCTTGGTTGACAATGTGTTAAGAATCACGGATGATTTGTATACCCAGTGAGTGTAGAAACTGTACAGATAATTTTAAATAACAATACGAAGAGCACTGTTAAGTGTTAAAGGTCCTCGTTCAGGAATGACCAAACTTCCCCCACCCCCCAAACCAATTTGATTCAAATTTAACACATTCGTAGATCCAATGTGGTCGTCATCGATTTCCTGTGTCACTCCTCCCCGGAGTTTATAGGGCGTGAAAGTTAAAAAATTGTAATGAATTTCGTATCTAAACATAGTAGAAAATTACTGTTTCCATTGTTTTACCCACTGTTCTAGAAATCTACTTCACAATTCCGTGGTTTGATTATGGTTGTAAATCATACGAAACTCCATATATGTATTCTCCATGCAGGTCGAAACAGAAAATTTGTTAGCAACGAGCCAATTTTTCACGTTTCTAGTTGTGTACTCTCACGTTTTCTTCTTCGAAAGAATTTTAGACACGAATCCAGCGCCAAAAAGAATTTGAACAAATTCTGTGCGAATATCGACCTCGTCTCACCAAATTTCCTGCACAGCAACCGTCCACTTTTGATATTTTTTGGCAAACTCCAATGTTTAATAGTCTTCTTCGAACACTTTTAAAATTCCTTTAAGAGCCCCTTGCGTCGCTCGGAAAGAAAACCATACCTAACTCTGATACTCGCGACACGTCGGAGTATAAAGTGCCCCCTGGTATATCGTTTACGTCCATCGAGAGCATTATAATGTAAAATTTTGAGACACTGTACGTAGCGAAATATAATTTGAGGGACGCATCGAGCATGTTGTGTGGAATGGCAAACGCACCAAAGTAGATAAGGACTTTAGAGATCAGACAGTAGCGCTTAGTAGAGATGTTCGGAAACTCGAAACACACGAGCAGCTCGAAATTCGAGCTCGGTTTCCTCAATCGAGACTCAAACAAATTCGAGTAGTTCGAACGTTCCCGAGTATCTCGGATGTTTCGAATCGCTCGATTCGTTCGAGTCGCTGGAATAAGAGTATTCCACGTACATACGTGTTCCAGCGATTCGAAGGAAACTCGGAACGCGAAGGAATCGGCTCGAAACATCCGAAGGAAATTCGAGAAAGAATAATCGTGCTACCGAAAACGTGTTCGAGTCTCGACTCGGACCCGGATAACTGACTCGGTTCTTTTCCAATACTCGAACAGCTCTAGTGCTTAGATAGGATTTACATTGGAAATTGGCATGGGAGGATCGATGCGATAATTGCATCGCGCTGGGCTACTAATCGATCAATTCGTAGGTACGTCGGCGATACTCGCATCGAGAGGAAGCAAAGTCGGTTTTACAGTCAATCGTACACCGCCCCGAATCCCATTATCACCGTCACGGAACACACGCCCACGCCATCCCCCGACTATATGAAACGGCAGGTTAGTAACAAAACAACATAATTTATATTCAAATTTTACGTCTCGACGAACCATAATTCTTTGGCCAATTTTAAAATATATTATTAAATTTTATTCTGGTAGGCTTCGATCGACAGTCAGTTGGACGTTATTAGCATGCGCGGTAATCGTTTAGATTCCGAAAGGAAGCCCAGTCTTACACGCTCGCAAACAGATTCTAACATCACGTATGCCAGCGACGAGATACCGGAAGCGCCTGGATCATCTTGTTACATCACCAAAGAAGGTGACATCGATTTGCAAGTAGTTCTAAAGGTGAGCTTTCCTATGCAATATTGGAATAATTCCGTGGAAAAACAATTGTTTGAACAGATTTCGTGTAGCTACGATCGACAACAATTGTTTTCTTCTATATCTCGCCTAGTATTAGTCTACAATCTATTTTTTGTGTACACAGATACGATAGCAAAGTATATTAGTCTAGAATCGTTTAACGATCGACAAAATCCTTACAAACTTACTAGTTTGGACGAGTAAATAATAATTCACCGAAAGAAAAAGTGATTCATTAACTTCAAATTATAGGGAACTATTCGTTCGATCGTTCTTGTTAATAATACTTTTTAATTCTTTCGCCAGGCAGTGCACTCGGTTGCATTACGAGACAGCAACTACTGTTCTTTACGAGTGTGCGAAAATATTTTGAATTTGGTGGAACTTTTAATGGATATGGGAGTGATGAAACAATGTCTTCGCGATGAGATGACCGGCAGTTTAACAGGTAAATGAAATATAATTAAAATTGTTAACTTTTGAATCTCGTAGAGCAAATATATTAAATTTTCAATGTTTATTTTTATATGTTCAGAGTCAGGAACGGTAATAGAAAAATCGGGCACGGAAAAGAAAAAGGAGAACGCCGAGAACGAACAAGACTATAGACAGAGTCAGACGGACAAAAATAAGACCTCGTCGCATAATCTCCTATTAAATTGCGTGATCAGAGTACTGAAACACTTGGGCTGCCCGCACAGCTGTTCGGAAGGAATACGCGGTCCTCACGCTGACTTTTGTCGTTCGCAAGCCCAAACGATCCTCACAAAGCTGCATCGAGCCAGCTCGAAGCAGTTCTCGCGATTCCTGCGATCGATGATGCGCGATCAACCGATACCAGAGATTCTGGAATTCTTTCATGCATTCATTGGATTCTGCCTGGATCCAAGTTCGTTGTTATCTCCACTTAGTGAGTAAATCGAGGGAAACGAAAAAAGCTACGTGTGTATTTGTTTGGTTTTGAAGTTGCTCGATTCTGTTGCCACGCTTCGATCGTCCATCGTGATTTTAATCCAAAGCTCCCTTTTTCACGAACTTTTCAACCCAATTGCATCCGAGATATTAACATGTACATCGCAGACGCTTCGTTGCCCTTGAATTCCAATTCTATGCGTTATTCGATAACTTTTGCTCGATCGTTCCGCCGTAGATCAGAAACGTGGATCGAGCAAATCGCCAGAGATCGGATCCCAGGGCGGATACGCGACGAATTACGGCGTGAATCTGATGGGAGGCGGCATGGTTTCCGGTGGGACGCTAGGCGGTTCGAACGCATCCGGTGCTGCGGCCAATATGGCGGCGACAGCTTCCGCTAACGCGATCTCGACTTACGGGCTCGGCGGCCATGGTTCACGCGGCATAGAAAGTCACATTTTTAACTGCGTGTTCAAGACGCTGGTCACGCGTTTCGTTAAAGCGCTCAAAGAGCTGAAATCACAGGAAAACATAAGCTTGTACTGCGATCTACGGCAGTTCATGACTTATGTGAAAGAGATACACGGGGGTGTTTTCCGTCGAGTCATCCTGAGCGGAATCTTGGACTCTGCGGACCGACCTAACAAACGGTGCAACAGCAACATTCAAACGACCCGTGTTATCAGGTAAAAATAAATAAAAATAAAAGAAGAACCAAATATTAATAGAAGTATATTCATTCAAGTGCTAGCAAAATAATATAGTCTCGTCTTGTACTCAAATAATAGTGAAATTAGCATATATTCTGTAATCAATCTTGATCGGGAATTGAGTTTACATTTAATGATAAATTTCATGTTCTAGAAATTAATTCCAGACCTAATATTGACATTTATTCTAGACACATACACCAATCAGATTTGGAGGAGCACGCGGACATCGGAGGGGATACTTGTTACACCGTGGACGACAGAGGAACTCGGAAATTCCTTTTCAAGAAAAGGAGCACGTCGTCTACTTGTGCAGTGCGTATATAAACGAACACACGTCGTGTACATATTTTTTATATTTGCGATAACGTGCATCGGAACCTTCCAGAGCCTCCTCGAGACAGAACTGAGCGAAGAAAACGCGAAAATTAGCCAAAGTCCTTTGGGGAACTTGAGAAAGAAACATCACATACTCACACCAAGGCCAAGCGAACGCAATTTGGGAATAGAATTCTTAGGCTCTGGAAAAACTCGGAAATCGACTCGATTTCAGATCGGTAGTATAGGTAATGATAAAACAAAAATGTAGATATATAAGATAGATATTAAAATAAAAATTAATTTCTAAATTCATTTCAGTCAATTGGTTTCGAAAAGAAAATGGCAGAACCGATTCTACCGACAGCCACGAAAGCAGCGAATCGCCAACGGACGGAAGTTTCGTTAGGCAATCCAGTTTTCATTATGGTTATTATCGTAGCGCGTCCAGATCGGGACGCAGGTAAGTTAATCTCGATAAGCTTTTTATTCGAGAATTTTAACCCTTATGTTAAAGACCAAAATATTCACGATACCTGAGTTCTTCGCTTAATTCACTGTTTTCCTTTTAATTAGGATCTACATTCGTATCGTTAAAATTTCAAACAATATTTATGAGTTATAGGCCCCGCGAATCTAGTGTTGAATAATAATCGTAAATATTTGTTACGCAAGCGTGGGCGTGACTCTGCAGAAGGCGAAACGTCGCGTGGAAGACCAACTGACGAAAATTGGCTTTGGAAAAAGTAAGAAGAAGGAAAGTTTAGAAGAAGTGCCCGGAAGTTGTGAGTGAACAAATTACCAGAGAGGGTTTGATAATATGTGGAATCGACGTAGAAAGGACACAACGATATAAAAAGTTTGAAGCTCTAGGCTTGTCTCTGTTGTTTTAAAAAGAGGACCAACAATTTTTATTCTTTCGTGTCTCCGATCTACCCCCGTATATTATGAAATACCCTGTTCGTTTCTTTCGATCTGATTAAAATTATAATCGTTAAGACACGAATCAGGTTTCGTTCTAACCAGATTTCAGCAGAAGAAATTCGATGGAGTTTGGGGAAGCTTCGAGGGAATCTGAATTCGTGGTGTTAAAAGAGAGACGACTGGTGCCCTGCAACGCTGTTTTCGATGGAATGCTAAGATTTTCGTTCCTATTGGAGACTTGCCAACCGGGTTCGGTCCCCGATCACTATCTAATGGCTGCGATCTTAGATCTCGTAAAAATATTTCATTTTCAATACAACGTTAAATCGATTTCATATGCAAACGAACCGAAATAAGTTTTTTAAAGCAATTCACAACATCGCTGTGTGCATTTTTGTTTATTTAGCCGTACGCACCGGTGGTCGCACGGACGTGTTTGCTGCTAGAATGCGCCCATTTCGTTCACTTGTGTAACAAGGGACAATGGCCGACCTGGATGAAAATGAACTTTCCCATATTTCGTCCGTCGGTGCCCATTAACAATCGGAATACGTCCACGGTACTCAGCAGAGTCCATGTTATGCAACGGACTGCTGGAAAATTGTTTTACCAATGGGCCGAGGTACTTAGAATTCGACACGTGATTTTATAAAATATTAATGATTTTTTAATTTGATTTATGTTTAACGCGAACAGGCTATTGGTGCGCGATTGGAAGAATTATTACTCGAGGACAAGCAAAATGGTGATCAAATGAGAGCTATGGTCTCCGACGAAAACAAGCAAAGAGATTTGATCATCGAAGACGAGGAAGAAGATTTTCTCGACGAAGGCAAGTCAAGACTTTCAGGGCAGACAGTAACAAAAATAAGAAAAACTAAATCCTGGGACTACACTCCTATATTCAATTTATCTTCCTGAAAATCCTGAATTCTTTTTATAATTCGTGAATTATCGAGTTTTATAGTATTTCCTTTATTGTATTTTAGCTAGCATAAACGGTTATGGGTCCCAGTGTCCTATCGCGTTGCGACTTGCTGCCTGTATTCTACTGCTGGAGGTGACTGCATTCTTGAGGGAGACTTATCAAACTCTGCCAAAGTTCAATAAACTTTTAACGAAAGAACGTCCTCCGCCTTGGGAACGAATGTACAGCAGAGAAGCGAACAGACGATGGAGTATGGCACTCTCGTCGATGGGACATTCGCAAACATCGGCTCAAAGTCTTCAATCGATCGTAGGCGATCGAGAGGTAGCGCGTAAGTATCATTATAGTAAGGAAAAAAACGCACACGTAGAATTTTAACATAATATTTCAACGTTCGAGCATAGAACATAAACTTCTAATTAATATGTATTTAGCAATTGATTCCACGATAATGAGTATTATTAACGAAGGAACGTTACTTCATTTTAAGGTGTTTAATCTAATCGTTTTGAATTGAACTTTCAGCAGAACGCAAAATTAGCTTTGTTCTTTACGAGCCCGATAACGAATCGGAGGGTAGTAGCAAATCGACTATTACGATTCAGGGGGAGGATTCCCAGAACGCTGAGAAAGAGAAGGTGAAACGCGTACAGCCGCCGCAAGGTCGGCCATTTCTTCTTCGACGCGGTACCGCGGAAAACGCGACTGGTTCGTTCAAAAAACGAAGTTTGAAACTTCGACGCGGTACCAAGGAAGGAAAGGACACCGAATGCGAGGCTTGTGAGTATTAAAATAAATTTTAGAGCCATTAAATGTGTGATCGATGGATTCGTTATTGATGATTAGATACGGTGAGACGAGCGGATTCTATCCAATCGAAGAGAAAAGTGAGCTCGTTGTCGGACAGAAGCGACACTTCCGAGCCCGGTTTCGGGGGTGAAATCAGTGGCGAAGAATCTCCAGGAATATTAATAGACGATCAACCGCCGGAAAGTCCCAGCGACAGCAACGAAACGGACGAAACCAACAAAAATTTCCCGTGGATGAAGGTCTTGGTGCAGTTCGCCAATTCGTTCAACATCTACTGTTCCCATCAGAACTTTTGCCACCCGCATTGCCATCGACGTCAAATGCGAGCCAGCAGCAGGCTGATCAAGTCCGTGAGGAAAATTTATGGCGAGAAGTTCGGGATACTGAACGGCACGGGAATGTTCGACTTCGACGCCGAGAAGAAAGAGGCCAACAAAAAGGACAAACGTGGTCGCAAAGTGTCCGAGCAAACCAGCACGCAGGTGTCCCCCGTGCGAAGAAAAGACAGCGTGGGAAAGAAATTCAAGTAATATTTTAAATAAATTATCTGGAATATCCGCGTTCCTTTCGAATATTTATTTTCTCTGCGTAGAATCGACAGAAACATAGACGGGTCGCAGTCCGTTCGATTAACGCAACGAGACTCCTCGAAGGATTTGGCTGACCAGGACTCCGAGAAAGGGAAGGAATCTTCCAAAAGATCGGGGAAAGACGAATGGGAGAAGGAGAATCCGGCGATTCTGAAGTACATCAAGACTCAAGTGAAGGACATATTCCATGCACCGCTGGCCACTTTGGTCAAAGGAGCCGTCGTAATGACGGAAGAGTTGTTCGTCGACGTTCTACCGATCGCTTGGGAGCTTCTGCTCGAGTCGAACCAAGAAGTTGCAGCGTCTGCAGCGTCCCTGTTCATAGTCGGGGCCGTACGGGCCCCGAATCAGGCGAGCGAGCTGATGCATCGCGGCCTCGAGCACAGCAGCACCAACGTGCGAATAAACGCGATACTGAGGTTCCAAGTGCTATGGAAACTGAGGTATCAAGTTTGGCCGCGAATGGAGGAAAATGCCCATCTGACGTTCAAGGTACCGCCGCCTGGGATCGAATTCACGTTACCGTCCCCGAAAATCGGTATCGAATCGTTGCCTGTCGTCGATCCGCCATGGATGCCGCAGGTGAAAACGAAGGTGGAGGAAGTGACGATCAATCAGGAGCATCATGTAAGTCTGAACCGAGGGCATCGTCGGTGAGTGTATCGTAGATCCTGAATTGTTTAGCGATTAAGTAGAGTTCATTATGACTATTACTTAGAGATCTCTGGTGACGGCAACGAAAACTCGTAAGAAGCAGCAAACTGAACTCATAAAAAAGGCTTTACAGGCGCAGGATGATAAGAAACGAGAAGAGAGGGAGAATTTTTTGATCACGACTATACCGATTACCGTGCAAGCGGCGTACGAACCCAGCCCCGTCGGAGACGATCACGACGAAGGTATTTGTCCACCGTTATACTTGTCCCAGTTTCTTAACCCTTTGCACTCGGCTGTCCCCTCTGAAGGGACATCCAGCAAAGAATTTGGATGTACACAACGATATTGTTTTAAAGTGATTATATAGGACAAAATGCATAAGCAAAGAATGTAAAAAAAAATATTTTGTAAGAAAGTGTGTGTTGAGTTAGTAGTAAGTGATCGAAGAAAAGTCTCCGGAGTGCAAAGGGTTAGATATCTCTGTGTGATCTACGATCGATGCATCGAACAAGTTAAGAATAATATCGTTTTCCGTAGGAAACGTTGGGGACGAGGATGCGGGTGAAACGATACCAAGAAACACGTCCCATCACGGCCAATCAGCGCCATCGCTGTTCCCCTCCTCCTTATGTTCCGCCATTGTTCAAATCATTTACTTGCTCGACGACGCGGGCGTCTCGAACGACGGAAGCGCCGTTTACGAAATAGCATATCAAGTGAGGAACCGATCGAAAGTTATGTTAATAACAAATAAATCGAGTCGCGTGACGTTTTCTTTATCTTTAGGTGATTTGGAATTGTCTGGTGGAAGACAGTGCGTTGTTTCTACGTTACGTTTTGGAGCGTCTCACCAGGGAGAAGCAAGAATTGATGTTTAAAATTTTGAGACACCTGATTCGTTTTGTACCGAAACTACCTCAACAGGCCGCGTTCGCCTTGTACAATTACATAATCGGTTACGTAATGTTTTACGTACGTTCTCCCCACGAAGAAGGGCAACAATTGATCGGAACGGCCCTCTCCATTCTGTGGATGGTAAGGCAATTCTAGGAACATTTCTTAACGCGAGATTTACAATTCTTGTTTCTACAGGTGGTCCACAGCGTCCACGGAATAATGTTTAAAGATCTAAAGCAAATTCTGCGGAAAGAACAGTGCGACGCCTCGATTTTATTAACCGCGAACGTGCCATCGGCGAAAAGAATCGTGGTGCACGGTCCACAAGATCCGGACGCTGGAGGAATTCCCTCGCAATTTCCGGTCCAGGAGGACACGCAATTCTGTCAAATACTCCGGGAATCGTTAGATTACTTTGGCATCGAGGAGTCGAAACAACGGGAATACTTCCTCGTGGACTACAAAACACGTTTGTACCCGTTTATATTATTCTATGCGTATCGTTTGGAATTTACAGTTTCCCTTTTTTTCGATTATCCAATAATTTTCTCGCTTGAAATTTATATACAAATTTCAGATCAAATCCGTAACCCGTCGTCCTACGTTCGGGATTACTACTTTTTTAAGGGCAGATCGCAATTCTCCGAGATCGAGCTGGTTCACATGAAACCGGAAGACGCGTTCAACGCGCTGCAACGCCAGGAATTGGTTCACAAGTTCGTCGAGATTGGAAAGGTTCTATTAACGTGGGCGATTTTGAAAAACGTCGACATGGTAGTGCAGAGGGTGGTATTTCTTCACGAGGAACTAATGAAACTGCCCTCCTTTCCAAGAAGAGCCCTGGAAGCGGACTTGGATTTGTACAAGGGCGGTGAAATTGGCAGAGTAAGCAACCAACGCGATACGATATTTCAAACTAAATTCTACCAAAAGTTTACAGTAAAATTTGTATAAATTCTTCGTCTTTTCTACTACGAATAATGAAAGTTTTTACTCTATACTTTTCATTCAAATTTTCGCGTAGAATCAAATTACTGGACGCTCTTAATTAGCAACAAGAGTTCTAGGAGAAACGTTACTGGCATATTTTGGCGCAAATGCTTGTTTAATTTTCTCTATTTCACCGTATAGGAACTTCTCGGTCTGGACGTGATGCACAAATTTATGTGGGTGAAACTGATCGCGAGGATGTTCGAGGCGATGGCGGGCAATTTCGCCTATTCCGGAGACATCCATCTTTTCTTGAACGTTCTGAACGGCGCGATCATCCTTCACAGCGAAGATTCTTGCATTTTGCGTTACGTTGTCGCCACGTACATAAACGCGGCGCACAATTTCAAAAACATTTTCTCGACCAACGGCTATTTACTAATTATGCCGACGTTGTTGCAATTGTACTCGACCCACCAAACGAACAAATTAGTGACGACCACGGTGGAGTACGCTGTCAAGCAATTCTACCTGATGAATCGAAAACCGTTTATCCTTCAGATGTTCGGAAGCGTGTCCACCATATTGGACACGGACGAAACGAGCGTTCACGGAGAAGCGCACAAGGTACCATTTTTTTTAATTCGACGCTTCGTTAATTCAAAGAATACTCGTATAAAATATTGAAAATTATTTGCAGGTCCCCGCCACGTGTCTTTTCAATTTGTTGTTAAGTTTGGAGACCCCGTCGCCGGATCCTTTGAACATAGACGAACTGGTGAAAGAGGAAAAGCCCCTGAAAGCTATCGACTTCTGTTATCACGACGAAAACGAGATGGTCAACGTGTTGGATTGCATTTCACTCTGCGTGATGGTGATAGCTTACGCGCCTGACTCCGTCAGGGGACAACAAATGTTGGTACGTCATTTTTATATGACAATAAATGAAAAGAGAAAATGAGTTTACGTTAGTTCTTCCGTTCTTGTAATTTCTTATACTTTGTAGATTATATTGGAAGCGATATTGCCGTGCTACGTGCAGCAAATTCAGTCCCCGACTTACAACAGAGAGGGAAAAACGGAGAAGGAAATAATAAATCAACTGGCCATAGCCGTGAAGACTTTGGTTAATAATTCGGAGGCTCTCACGAAGTAAGTTTCGGTGCTTCGTATTTTAGATTCGGTGATGGAAGATCGATGTTTTCACAGATATTACAACGGCCCGCAAAAGTCGAGCCCTGAACATAAAGGATCCAGTCAAAGAAACTATGGAAAGGGTCCGTATTCGCCTGGTTTCGATTTCGAGGACGAAACTCACACGACCAAGTACATGGAACACTCTAAAGTTCGCACCTTTTACGATCGAGACAACGACTACGCCGAAAGTTGCCATAAAAACGAATTTCGTCGGCCACGCGACACATTATTGAACATGGTAGGGGACTTTGTGGCTCGATGCTCGGCTAGATTAATTGAACTGAACAAGAAGTCTCAGGATGGGAAGATGATCGAACTATTAGACTCGAAATGCCATATAGTAAGTAGATCTCACGTAAACGTACGATGCTGAAGTTTTCAATTGATTAAAAAACGTAAAATTCATGATTGATCGTTAGCGTTTGGCAGATATAGCCCACACCCTGTTAAAAATATCCCCGTACGACGCGGGGACAATGGGTTGTCGTGGTTTGAGAAGATACATGAACGACATTTTGCCCTCAACCGAGTGGTCCAACGACGACATGAGACCCGCGTTGACGACTATTTTAAGAAGGCTCGATAAAACATTTAGCAAAATACATAAAAAAGCCTCCATCAGAAGGAACACCGACTGGACGGCGGCGAGCGATCTTTTGAAGGGAGTTTACGAAACGCTATCCAAGTGTCCTTACATTGCACACTTTCAGTATCTGAAAACATTGCTGAGTACTTGTCAGGTATTACAGTTATTATTTTACTACTATCCTTCCGCTTTGTGTTTTATTAAATAAGTTGTGAACTACTATATTCACTAATCGAATAAACAAAAAATATTCCAAAACATTCAGGCCATCTCTGGTTATGATGCAGACAAAAATTATCATTTTGTGTAACAAGTATACTGAATACAGTAACAATTTTCAGTAACGCGATTAATATGAATCTACCTTTAGATATCAATGAATGTAAGTTCTAATTTTGTACGTAGTCTCTGATTATCGGAGACACCCCCCCAGAGGATGTGACCTCGGCTTCCTCGGCTGCTTTAATGAGCAAAATACCTCCCCAACATTTCTGCTCGACCGTACTTCGACTGATAGCTCTTCACGTGATATCTCTGAGCGAAGGATACTCTCTCGACAATGTGTGCGGCGGCCATGCCATGTTCGCCACGCAAACTCGAACGGAAAACATACTGCTTAACTTGTTAATACCGTTGTTTCTGCGCGTGGGCACCGGAAGAAAAGGTAAAACGCAAAAATGGTACTCGTAAGAAAGTAAATCGAAAATGGATCCTTGTGTTTCTAGATGTGACGAAACTAAGGCAATCGGACATAAATTTCACTTTGACAGCGGTGCTGAACACTCTGTGGCCACCGAGTACGAAGACAGTACCGATAACTGCTCAGAATCTCAAAACTACGACGGATATGAGAGCGGGTAGTTTGACATTCGTAGCAAGAGACTCGAAGACTTTAACTAAAACGTCCTTGACGTTGTATCAAGTTGCCTTTTTAGGTGAGCAATCGAACGATTTTTAAGTCTGGGACCTTCTAAAACTGATCTAATTTTTATTGAACGGAATTCAATTCTGAGAGATATCGATATATCTAAACCAGAAGAGAAGTTGATCTCTTACGTTATTTTTAAAGACGTCGTTCGATTTTTTGCAGCCTTGAAAATAATGACGATATGCTTTGAAATGGAGTTGAAGACCGAGTGGCCAAAGATTTTACGCACAATGCGCCTGTTGAACAAACGAAACGAGGCGTCCACGTACCTCTGGAATTTTATAGAATTCGTGGTCACTCATCGTACCGCTCTCTACATTCAAATGCTTCCATTCATCGTTCACAAAATCGGCCAAGCGCCCATTTCCGAACACGAGAGAAACATGCAGAGTATCATACGCGCAAAGATTAACGGAGACACCAAAACGGTACCAAAATCTCGTAGCACTTTATTGACCGACCTCATACACGAATTAAAGGACCTGAAAGAGGAGATAGAAGATAGGAGATTCGGTTAGTAAGTTAGATTTGATACAATCTCTATGATAAGAATATTATATTTTTTTTATAATTACCTTAGTTTCGTTTTTCCTCGACACAATTTTATCCTGGAAGAAATGGTCACATACAAACCCATTCTACAATATTTACATGAATTCTGTTCGCAATTTTTCTGAATTCATCCACTACAGTATGATGAATCCTAGATGAATTCAAACGACTGCTAGTGTGAAACTTTTAACATTCTACAATATTTACATTTCCCTGAAGTTGTAATTCTCGAATGTTTCCCTTATCTTTGAATTTATCCCCATCACTGTGTGTGAATCCCAGATGAATTCAAACCACTGTTAGTGTGAACCCCCTAAATAGAACATGTATATACCGTATTGTGATCATTGCATTTAGACGAAATGCAGCCAGAACCGAAGAAAAGCGTCGCAGATATGCACCCCGCGAACGAAGGGCAGCCCCGTACGCAAAGGCCATCGTTGTTGATCGAACTTCTGACGGGAGATCTCGGATCCAGAGCTCATATAAATCGCACGCCCGCGGAAACTCCGATTTCCCATTCCACGGCCCCTCAATCCGCCCCACACATAATTCATCTATCGAATTCAAGCGGGACTGTCAAGACGTCGCAACCGAGTCAAGTAACCGCACCGCCAAACGGTATACACACAGCACGTGGTACGATTATAGTTCCATTCTGCGCCATTGATCGAAAATAACACTGTTTTCCGTATAACTGATCGCAAACGAGACCTGTGATCGTTCAGTTACCCGGGACAGGGGTTGATTCGTGACGCAGAGACTTTAAATTAAACCGAAAATTCGTTAAAATTGGAACAATTCTAGTCGTTGATTCAAAATTATTTAACGATAATAATGATCGATGTTTCAGGGTCAGCTTCTAGTACGAGCGTGGGTTCTTCCACTCTTCGCGAAGCCAGTGACGTTGGTATTATCGAACCGACCGCGGAACAACAGATGCCCGCAGGTATTCGATTGCTTTCGAGAAACTTTTATGAAACGGTTCCCAACTTCAAGTACATATTTCCGATGCGACTGCAAGCCTCTCATAAATGTTTCGTTATTTTTCTGAGCGATTGCGATACGTTTACCACAGTTGGATCGAGCCATTGTCTACAGGGCACTGCTACGAAATTTTCTACGTTCGACCGTTTATATAATTTTTTTTGCCGACATTTTTCTATTTTCTATTTATACCCCGACAGCGAGGCTTGCGATTGAGCGACTTAAATTCAAAATAGAAATTTCTCTCACGAACCGAACCTCTTAAAAGCTGCTTTAAATCGGTCCGCATTGCTTGTATTCCATTATCCACGATTCCATCGTTCGGACCTTCCTGTTTAGATCGTATATTGAAACATTGATCATTGCGTTGCTTTCATTGCTAGCTAGGGAACGGAGGTAAGCAGATTCTAACAGTCAAGTTTCACCGAAATCTATGATGAACGTCCTGCTGGTGTGTTCCTTGTCACGCTTCTCCGTATCTCATAACTTCTTGTTATACTCTGTACACTTTATCTCCCTTTCTGTGTGCTCCTCTCGATCACACTTTTTGATGGTGTTTTCTTATTGTTTCCACGAACAGAGAGATTCGACGGATTCTTTGTACATTTAACACACGTCTCTGCGCAGTTTTAAATGTCACCGCTAACGAGAAAAATGGATTTTATCGTTTCTCCTATTTGTTCGAAACTTTACTCGACACACTGGAAGCAGGGTTTCTCAAAGTACAGAAAACCACCATTTTGATTAAATCGAACATGTTACGTCCCGTGTAAAAATTCTCTCGTTTTCGAAATTATATGAAAAACACACACTCCCTTTTACTTGAATTTAATAAAACAGAATTTTACGATAAAGGAATATTTTCAATTTGTCGAACGATGCAAACGAGTCGATGCTTGCATTGGAAGAAATTATAATTGTGTTGGAAAAGTCTGACGAAAAATGTTGGGAACCCCTGCTGTAGAGAATACATGAATCCGATTTTCACATATCTCTTACAATATTATATTCTTCTACTATAGTTGTGATCTTTCCCGTTAAATGTAGTTCACGATTGTATTTAATTTATACAGCAGTATTTAGACAATGGTAATGTCCAACGGCTGGTATTCAGTTCGTCGTTACGTAGATATATACTTCACTACACGTAGTTGCTTCGACTTTTTATTGCTTCTCCATTCTTATCTAATCACGCTACGATCTCTGTACTCGAAAGTTCATTTCTTTCATACAGACTGACACAGTATTCTTTACGAAGAAACGCATACATCTAAAATTCTATATACAATTTTCGTAATTCCAGTGCTTTTCTGGTATTCGACGAGGTCCTGGGTCACTTGAACTTTCAGATATACATATTGTCTCGCAAAACTTCCATAATCGAAGCAACCCCGTACCCCAACCCCGACAAACAATTAATAACTGTACAGTACATCGTCTATACCTTATCAACTTTATACACAGTGGGACATAATTCAGAGTACAAATAATGAACTGACTCAAAAGTAAGTAGCAAAATTGGAAAACGGTCTTTTAAAATATTAATATGAAATATTTTGCACACTGGGTACCTTCGCTGCTTTCATTTGTTTATAGTTATATATACAGTGAAGAAATTTAAAACAAACGAAATCTCGTACGAGAAGAATTCAATTCGCGTTACTTCGTGAATCTTTCACCGAGAAATCGTCCAATCTCGGTGTTGTGCTGCGAATTATGTCCCATTCTGCACATTGTACTACGTTCCATTCATATTTAATTCTTTCGTTCATTTCAGATTTAATATTGGCGAAGCGTATCACGATGATATCCGATTTAACGACATTAAAATATCGCGAAACCGTACTATACGTTACTTGCATTGAACGCTACGCGGTCTGTGATCGCACAGAACGATTCGTGAGCGTTTAATGCAATTTCTGTAAACAATGTATCGGCATATCAATGACGTCGTCACGTGGTCTGTCTCATTTGTCGTCTTTCCTTTCATTCTAGACGTTGAATGTGGCATGTTTCAGATAAATCCCAACCACCTTCTACTAGCGATGAACGTAACCATGTTAAGCCTCATCCTATATTAACTCATCAAAAGGCACCAAAACTGCGCTTTCTATCTTCCGTAGAATTTAGGCACTCATCAGGTAAATTCTGAGCCCTGTTCCAAATAAATATATTATAATTGCAGCTAACGACGGCCTCTACGTTACTTCTGATCGATGAAAGTAACGTTGGCCGCTCAAAGTACATTGAAAGTGTGTATGTTACGCGAATTAATTCTGCAGAATGTTTCAAAGAGAAATAGGGAGAAATTTATCAACGAACGATACGTTTAGTCACGAGTAAAACCGATATTAACGGAGATCTAACTCCCAAAATTTTAATACTCGTTACGTTACGAGTTATAATCGTGTTAGACGTCAGAAGATAAACTTTAGTAGATTACAAGATTATAATAGTCGTTAAAAGGGTTCAAAACTGATGCAAGCCATTTTCACGATTATTTTCGACCGTCGCTATCATCGTTGCATATATCACGATTCATTTAATTTTCATTAGAACACCCCTACTTCACTTCTTTTTACTTGCTAACAATATATACATATTTTTGTTCTACGAAAATTCTTTTAAAAGCTAAATTACATATTTCCAAATCATCCACGTATACAACTGAAAAAGATATAATTTCGAAAATACGCGTACACTTGGAACAAACGATTCTTGTAAGCCATTTCTTGCCGTAAAAGACAATGGAAGTATTTAGGTCGATCTCGCTCAAAGGGACATTTTATATTTTACACACAGATATTCTACACAAATATTTTTTTATCTACTATTCTTCCTTGTTTCTCCTTTTACTCCCTGTACTCTATAATTATCAGGCGTTTACTCTTTTGCTGTCCTTCCATGCTCATATTTTCTTCACGCCTCAACAAAGACGCGTGAATTATACTCAAAAGACGATGCAATGCAACTTTGACAATTTTAATTTCTTTGTTAAAAACATTCGTGAACGTAACCGTAAGCAAACGACAAATTCCGTTGAGAACGATCTATAGTAAGAGCGTAGTTATCGATTCTAATAGTTGACAAGTCGCGTTCAGGGTCGTCTGTTCGATACAAGTAGAAATTACTAAACGCTGATCTGCTAATTAGATACGACAATGTTTCGACAGGTACCTATTCGCAAGTAGATATAGTGCGATGTTGAAATAATCATAGTTCGCGGAACACTGTTGTTTATCACGTACACTTCAGGATACGCATCGGGTTGGAGATTAGTTAATTTCTTAAAGAACAGCATGGATAGATTCTATAGAGATTAGCGTTCGATAATAAAAGCGAATTGATCGAATGCTGGTTCATTAGGGGAGACTATGACGAGTCAGCTGAGCCCGACCAGTCCAAACGAGGACAGTTCAGGCGAGTCGCGACCAGACAAACCTCGTTTACAACGATCTATGGGCCAAAGCAAAAAGACGTTCCGACTGAGAAAGAGTCGAAGGGCACACATTGAGGTAACGATGTTCAAAACGGAATCAATTGGAATTAATTGATCTGCGATGCCTTAATGTACCGATTCCTTTTCAGGTGGCACAAATCGGGACGGAGCAAGTGTTTGATATGCCACACGTGCCATTAACGACCCAACTGTCTGTACGAACGTCACCGATGTCGACGAGGGAACCTTCGAACTTCAACATCCCCTCGGACTCGTCGTCCATTCGTTCCAGACGAAGCTCGTCGATCCGTCAGTCGGACTGCGAGAAAAGCAATAACGTGCCAAACGATCAACAACAAATGCATGGCAACCTGCATCACCATTACCACCATTGTCATCACTATCATCATCTGAGTCTCCAAACGTCGGACGTTTCGTGGGACGAGGACACGTCCAGCACGTCCGGTTATCGCGAATCGTACAGCATACAATTGGTATCGCTGGAAAGCAGCAACAATCGTCCGGTTCAAGCGCCACCGTTGGCGTCCCCGGATTTAAACGACATGCCTTCGACCAGCAGCACCACAACGAACGTCATAGCTTTCGACGGTAGTTCGCCTGATTGCTCCATCAACGGAAGCGGAGGAGAGAAGACAGCTCTGTTGACTTCTAGCCAAAGAACCACTTCTCAACACTCCCTGTTGATAGTGTTTCCCAACCAGGACGAAGACACGTTGATATAAACAGTCAACGAGCATAGTTACGAGACTGATTAAGAAGGCACTAACGACCTCTAATTGCTAACTGTAATTCCTGTTATAGCTCAACGAGTTAACGAAGATCCCTGCAGCTCGTTCAGATCTTTCCAATTTTGATTTTTGGCCAAACGAGTTCTAACTCTTTCTAATTTAAACAACAGGCACGATAAACTACTGAATTTTATTTTTTCGGTTTTTTGAGAAATTATTTTTCACCCCGATAGTCCGTAAATTCTCTAGATCGAGTTAATGGCACTACTATAAAAAGATTACGTTAGCAGTTAAAGGTCCGATCGAGATGTAATGTAGAAAATATTTCGCGACAATGTAGAGTGGCAGTTAATAAATCTTCTATTATGATGTTCAAAGTTTTAATTAATGTTTTTCGTTGACCGAAGAGACCAATTGATGATGTATATATGCCGTGGGCCTAGCTTTGTGATTTCAGAATACTTTGTAATACATAGCGAATGTAGCAGAATCACGAGCACACGGACAATTACATCTAAATATTTGTATGAGACGATTCCCTGTAAAAGTGAGTATATTTGAAATAAAAATAATTTATGATTATCAAAATAGAATTATTTTCTACACTTTTACATTTATTATGATCAAGGCATTGATAGACAGTCATAAAAAAAAATTTTATAACATTTACATAAACTATAAATTATTAACTTTTTAAAGAAAAAATTCGAGTTGAACAAAAGTATCAATTCAATTATAAAAAACCATTAATTAAAAACAGTTTACATTTCTGGTTGCAAATCTTTCTAATAGATTGATCACAGCAGTTTTTAAATCAAATATTCCCGCGCTCCTCGACGTACCAACTGCTTAATGAAATTCTCCAAAACTAGGGAAATACTTTAGAAACTAAATGACTGTAGATATCTGGGGGTTCACAAACTTAACCAAAAATGTCAACTTCGTCTTTTCAATGCTTCGATATTATGATAACTATTGGACTTAAATAAATCTCTCGATTCAATATTCTTAACATTATGTTTTGTACAGAGACTGCCAAAGAGTCCGTGGAAATAATAATTAAGAACCACCGCCTTAAAGTATCACTGTACTGTTGCATTTCCTGTATTTACTCTTTGACAAACTATTGTTTGTTTTAGGGTACAGGGCTTAAAGACTAGTTCTTACTTTTTTAAATTAAAGAGTCTATGAACTTTGCAAATGGATAACTTTTAACATTTCATATAATAAAACCTAACAAATGTTTTTAAAAATTTTGTTTCTCTCTACACTCAAACAACAGTGTAAAGTATCTGTTATACTATACTATACTATTTTAAGTATCCCATGTATATTATGTAAACATTAATTTTTGAGAATAAAGTGATTTTAGTGTACCTACATGCTTCATAAATAATTGTTTATTCAACATGTATCCTCGAAAAATTTGTATCGTCGCGTGGATATTCTATGTACAACTGGTGATAGCTTTGTGCAATATTGAAAACAATGAAGTTAACGAGTGTCAATTATCAACAAAATTGATACGAGAAATAGATTCGTATAAACCGATAGTTGAATCTATAATAAATGAGACAATATCAGGTTCGTTCAAAGGAGTCACTTTGAAGGAATTGGCTCACTTTGTGGATAAGTTTGGTCCGAGATTATCCGGCACTGAAGTACTCGAAACATCAATTGATTATGTATTAAATAAATCACACGACTTTGGTTTAGAAAACATACATGGAGAACCTGTGTCCGTACCACATTGGGTCAGGTAAAGTTTGTTAAATATTTATTATATTATTTAAGGGCTTTTTCAAGCATAGGTAGCACAAAAAGATAAAATTCTTACGGAATGTTGATTTGTTAGAGGATCTGAGTCTGCTACTCTTTTAAAGCCAAGACAGAAAGATCTTGCTCTTTTAGGATTGGGTTATAGCATAGGTACTCCACCTGAAGGAATAACAAAAGAGGCTGTTGTTGTAAATAGTTTCAAAGAACTTGAAGAAAGAAAACACGAAGTAAATATTTTCTAGAATTATTTTTATCAAAATTGTTTTTTGGTTTACTTTTGATTATTCCTTATTTTTTAGGTATCTGGAAAAATTGTTGTATTTAATCAAGAATATGTTTCATATGGAGAGACAGTGAAGTATAGATCTATTGGAGCAACAGAAGCATCCAAATATGGTGCTGTTGCTGCTTTAATTAGATCAATTACACCATTCTCATTGTATACACCACATACGGGTATGCAAAGTTATGGGCCAAATGTAACTAAAATTCCAGTAGCTTGTATTACAGTTGAGGATGCAAACTTGTTAAGAAGATTGTCAGATATGGGTAAATAGAAAGCAAAATTTTAAAAATAGTTGAAAAAATGCATTTTTATACTTTTAACTGTCTAGGTGAAACTATAGAAATAAAGTTAAAAATGCAAGCTAAGAATTTACCAAATAAAGTATCGCGAAATGTAGTGGCTGAAATAATAGGATCTACAATACCTGAGAAAGTGGTAGTTGTATCTGGTCATATAGATAGTTGGGATGTTGGTCAGGGAGCAATGGATGATGGAGGTGGAGCATTTATTTCGTGGCAGGCTTTAAGATTGCTGAAACAACTTAATTATCAACCTCGTCGAACCATAAGGTGATCTTTAAATAAATTCAGAAGGAAGTTTAGTACACCCCCGGATAACCAATTCCCGAAATAACTTGCAGAATGATCATGTGGACTGCCGAAGAACTCGGTATTATAGGAGCTCGTTATTATATCAAATCACATAAAGCAGAAGAAAAAAATCTTCAATTTGTAATGGAATCAGATATGGGCACGTTCATGCCGCTAGGTCTCGAATTTACTGGAACAGAACAAGTTAAGTGCATTTTGGAAAGAATTATGAGGTCCGTACGCATACTCAAATTATAACAAAATATTGTGAATTATAAATGTTTTATTGTCTATTTTGTTTATAGACTCTTATCTCCTATGGGACAGATGAAACTACGAAATCCTCATGCAGGACCTGATATAGAATCATGGGTGAATGCAGGTGTACCAGGAGGTTCACTTTGGACACAAAATGAAAAATACTTTTATTATCATCATTCGAATGCAGATACTATTCTAGTTGAGAATTCGGATGCCCTTGATAGGGGGACAGCCTTATTTGCGGCAGTATCGTACGTACTTGCCGATCTTAGCATCGATCTTCCTCGTAATAAATGATTTTATACTCGATTGTCAATATGATTGTTAATGGTATTTGTTATTAAAAAAGAATTGAGCAATAGAAATTTCTTATCTTTGACACCGGGGTCATTAAACGTAAACAGAAAACTAAAGATGGCTACATAGATCGAATAGAGTGTGGCGACACCTTCCACACTCGTCAGCAGAAAGGTACACTTAACCTTCACCTCGCTCACAAATCCAAATGCCCACGATAGCACCTACGACCTCCTTAAGAGTCCGTTTTGTATGTTACAAAAGGCGTGTCCATCAGTAATGCCAGACGGAGCCCACTTTTGCACACTATGACATGATGACTACGCCACCAGTCAGGCGTGACTGAGCTCGTACAATTTCAGAGAGTCGACAAGGATAAACTGACACTCGTTCTCTCTCTCTCGATTCTCCGAAGCTGCCCGAAGTGAGCGCTAATGAACTTCGGACCGCCTCGAGAGAGAAGAGTCGAGTGAGTTTCCTTCTCGATCTCGAATAGATGAATTTCGACCTTCGATTTCGAATCTCGATTGCAAATGTGAGTCTTCCTCTCTTACTATTACTCTTTTAAACGAAAGTCACGTATAGAACAATCACTTTATTGGTCGTGAAATATTTTTTGTGTTTTTCTTCACTGATTTAATTAATGATTGTAGTTCCATATTAGGCTTCAACTTCGGTTGCTTGGTTTGGCTTTCCTAAAGATTGGACGAAATTGATATTGCGATACATGCAATACACGGAACTTATCGAAATATGTTGTATAAAATGAATTTTACTTACATCGACGGAAGTATCATCGACTCTTCTTTTTAATTTTTCTTTGATTAGAGCTTCTGTGCCCTTCGTTTTTCTGTAATGTGGATCTGCTGGATCGATATTGAAATGATGCGAAGTAAACAATGCATTGAACCTTGAATCTTGTACATTCACTTCAAAATTGTCTTCCACTATTTGATCCTGTCCATTCTTCTTTTTATTAAGTCGCTTTTGTTTAGATTTCGTCATCGTGGCATTTTCTTCGATCTTTTTCATATTGAAATGTTGTTTACCATCACCATCTTCTTCATCCATTAGAAGAAGTTCTAACTCGGCTTTACGTCGTGCTTCGTCTTCATCGTCCGACGGAGCCAGACTACCATGTTTCATAACTTTTCTCCTTGTGGAAGACGATAATTTGTTATTTGTATTTTTTCTGTCAGTTTCGTTTGCATCCGAATCAGACATTCCAGAATCCTCAGAATTTGTAGACGCGTCGTTATCTGCGTTTTGACGATTCTTTCGCTCATTGCGTTTAGCTTTTTTCTTTTCTTTACGTTTCTCCAAATATTGCTCAAATGGCGTTAGATTTTCGTTCTTCTTCATTCTTTCCTTTACCAGTTTCTCAGCTTTCTCTTTTGTTCCTATACCCCATGTGAATTCCAATCCAACGTCCTTCATTTGTTTTGCTTGTTCCTGTTCCGCTATCTCGTTCAACAAAGCTGTATATTTTTTAATTGGATCTGCATTTGTTTCCGCGTCGGAATCATTTTTACTTTCTTGACTTTCTTTCTTTGCTTCTTTATCCTCTGCTAATACAAAAATATAATAATAATGTTACGTTAAATATAAAAAAATAAAGGTTATAAAAAATACCTGATTCATCGCCGCTTGAATCGGTAGCTAAATAAGCTTGTAAATCGTTCCTGTTGATTTGATCAAGTTTCCCAGAATTTAATTTTTGTGCAATCTCTAGCCTTTCTGGATTCGTCTCATCCCATGTTAAGTCCACTTTAACTTGTTGTAGGGCTGTAGTTGTGAACTGCCTTGGTTGGTATTTCGTAAATTGCGGCATCTCGTTACAGGTTTCTTTAGGAGTCTTAAAGTAGGCATCTAAGGTCATATACAGTGAATATATTTTATAAGCTTGACAACTAAATAACGTACCCGATCAAACTCCATATCATCTGGTATAAATCTAAGATCTAATTTTGTTGCTGTGGATTCATATTCTGTGCCATCACACTCTGTATAAACTTTATTTGCTGTTTCAGCAGAATCAAACTCAACAACAGCATAGTAATACTTTAATCTATTCAATTGATATTGTCTTAATTTCTCCATATGATATGTTGATCCTTCTTCATCCTACAAAAATAAAATGTAAAATTACAATAAATAGTCATTTTTACAGTAATAAATATAAAAACAATGTATTCCATACATCATTTTCATCATTAATTTCTCTCTCACTATTTGTTTGAGTTAATTCTTTTGGGCCAGCAATTTCTTCTTCTTTCATGCGTTGCAGACCAAATTCTGATGGATAAATCTGAAATTATTTTGTTACAAACTTTAATGAATACTGTAAGTTTGTTTTTGAATTATTCTTACCATAACTGAACAAATAACACCTCCACTTGGTAAAAATGAATTGAATAAGACCATCAAATCTACAGCACGTATTCTATCCCAATCCATATTACACACTGCTAATCGACGTGTAATTTGATCTGTTGTCTCTGCCTCTTTGTCTAATTCACCCCAATTATGTTCAATCTCTTCTTCATCTAATTAGAACATGTATTATTATATTTCTGATAAAATTATTTAGTAAATTATTTTAAAGACTTGTGCATCATATAATATTACCAGAAATATCTGAACTTTCTTCATCAGAAGAGCTATCTGTTAACAAAACTCCTTCACCCCTGGCATAATTTACACTTAAATCCCTTAATTTTTCTTTAATTTTATTTGTCAGATTGTTAGATTCATTTTGCCTCCTAATTTTCAATTGTTTTTCACTTGCTTTCAAATCTGCTTTCAAACTATTTGTTATACTCTTTGCATCAGAATCAGACTCTGATTTGGACTCGCTGTGTTCCTCAGAATCTACATTTGATTCTTCTTTTGGTTTAATTCGAAGCAATTCTCCATTGCTTGAAAAACAATTGTCTGGCGAATCATCATCTTCATCTTTATTATTTGTATCAACATCATGTTTTGTAGGACTAATTTTTTTTAATTTAGATGTATCAGTTTCTTCTTGATCTTCCTCATCTTCGCTGCTTGGCAAATCATAATATTTTCTGAGATTTTCAGATGATGTTTGATTGATAGGTCTGCCTCGCTTATCAATGGTATACTGAACAGTAAATTTTTTATCGTTAAACATACTTTGAAATCTTTTGTCTATTTTCACTTTTCGTTCTGTTTTAGGGATCCTTTTAAATTTAGGATCCCTTGCAATGTGGGCAAACCGTTTATCGCTCAATAATTCATCCATGGTTTTAATATGTTTTATTTCACTGTTATTTAAATTCACTAATATCTAATAACACGATCTACAAACGTTTTTAACGTAACATACGATAGAGTAGATGGGTACAAATCTTGCACGATCCATGTGCTCGATTTCCATATTTATATCATAACCTATGTATATACAGATACCTCTAATAAAGGCTTCCCATTGATTAATTATTAATTTTGACGGATACAAGTGTCAAAACTTTTTCTTTAAAAATACATTAAGTATAATGTGACCGAATAAAAATTTTATGAAAACTTAAGTTCCGTTTATAAATCAAACAAGGATATTTCGTGAAATAAACGCGAAGAAATTTACAATATTTGAAATCGTCTAGAAAAATATTGAAATTAATGACATTAAAAAAATATGTTTTAGTATGTATTAAATTAATATTAATTCGTAAATAGTGTACAATATTGCTTTAATGAGGCAACAGGTTTCGGTCTTATTCTACAGCGGAAAGGGCCAATCACATTTGTTCCCGCTATTTTTGCTTCTATAGATCCATGGAGTAATGTTTGACGCGTCGTTGTGATCAATTTTTTCAACGTGTTTGCGTTTATTGTGATATTGTATATATGTTTTCATACTTTTTTAAATAACAATCTCGTACTTTATTAGTGGGCAATGCAACAAAATTAAATACCGATTGTTGCAAAGAAATATCAATATTTAACGTGTCATATTGAAGTGTACTCGTTATTGAAGATACACAAGTGGTTTATATATTCGAACGAGGAATTCTTCGTTGTTTTGTGAGAAATGAATACCCCTACGACTAGAGACTTTCCACGTAGACGCGATGGAACACGTAGAAGATCTATACGACAAGCTTTAGCCGTAATTCCTATCAACAATTCGACGTCTTCCCCTGGTGTGCTTCCGAAAATCTACTTGTTATTAATTATTCTCTGTTTATTCTTTTTAGTTTCGATTCTCGTGTTTCAGGGGAAGCTATTTCTACCGAAGTGAATGCAATGGATAATTTTTTAAACAGTAGACATGGTTCTGACTCCTGGAGTCCTGCGCCCAGTCCCGATGAGCTAGTAATACAAAAGCGTGGACGTCGTCATAGGACCATAGTATGGTCCCCTGATCTTGATGCATGCAAAAGAAATAGTCTTTTCAGGTAAGAGTTACTGTAAAGCAGATACTTCTGTTTTGTTGTTGTCAAAAGTATATCAAAGCTTTACTCATTTATGGGGTTTCTTAACTTGATTTGTGGATGATTCAACGAACAAATGCACGTATGTTCATATAGACCCTTAGGTATAATTTCTATGTTCATACCTTGTTATTATAATTTCTTGCAACTTAAATTAGGCACGAGCATCTTTCTAGTAGTGGCAATTTACCATAATAGAAAAGTACATTGAAAATTTTTCAGCATAAGCGCCAGAGATCGTACTCCGGTAAAAAGTCCAACAAAAACTTCAATGGTGTTAAGGAGTACACCTAGGAAAAGGCTTGCTCTTGACAATGATAATGTGTCTCAATATACAACACCAGAAAGAAAGAAAAAGTCACAAATCCTATTGGATGACAATGATTCGCAAACACATTTTACTGGCAATTTAGTAAACGGTTTGCGAGGTCTGAGTCATGAACAATTGGTGCAGATGATTACAGATATGGTGTCTATGCAGGAGGATGGTACTCTAGCCGAGCGTGAAAAGTTACGCAATGTCCTTTTGAGAAAAATGCCAATAGCTGATATACAACCATTAATTGATATCTTAAACAATTTAATACAAAACATTTACGCTAGTATGGTGTCTCCTAATTTGGACGATTCAACAAACAAATGTGCATATATTCATTTAGATGCTTACCAGGTGCTATTTCTATGTTCTATGAGCACTCATATTTACTGTTTAACTCAGTTTTTGTTACTTCTGGTTTCATATATTGTTATTTTAATTCGTTCATAATATTGTACTGATTCCGCACAGAAAACTATTATAGATCAGGGAAAGAGACTAGTAGAATCTCAGCACTGGACGTCGGTGATGCATTATGTGTATGCAGCGTGGAATATTACAAAGCAGTTATTTAAGTGCGAAGATCAAAATCTTCGTAATTTAGCGCGTAAATGTTTTAAAAATTTGACGCACTTTTGTTCTCAAGCTTTAAAAAGAGGAGACTTCTCAGCTCCAGTCTTAAATATGTTTGCTGACAGGTATCGAATACAAGAAAACGTTTAATCTATTCATCCTATATGAATTCAACATATTGAACTTACACATATGGTGATTCGTGTTTTAGGCTTGATGCTATGGTCGACGATTATGAAGACATAAAAGTTTGTCTGCAGTTCATAAACGAAGTGAAAACCAACGAAATTTAAGTACGTTTTATCTGCAAATAACAACGAAACTTAAATACCTTTTTACATCGTTAATATTAAACAAAGATGCCATGCGTATTACAAGTGTTAACATATGTTTACATACATATATATTTTTAATATATACAGATATTTTAATATCGATACTCGTCGTATAAAGGCCCTATAGAGGTTTTAACAGTTCTCACTGTTAAATTAATTATATTTTTTTACTAATCGTTTGTACAACTTCTCAAGTACTCTATGAGATTTATATGGAATGGTATTAAAGTAGTTATAAGAGTATTCAGGTATTCAAATGAGATTTTTGTTATAATACTTTAAGTAATCGCATAAGGTTTATGTTAATTGGACACATGGCTTTTTAAGCTACGTTTTTTACAATTAACATAATACGGATAATTTACATCACTCAAAGGAGATGATACTATTTTCAGTAGAAAGTAAGTTATTTCGGACGCACGAGTGGTTAGAGCTTATTCATAATTCATGGTGTTTTGTTCTCTTTTGTTTTATGATATTTATTACGATTTTAATCTTTATATACCTAGAGTATTTTTTTAGAAGTACCAGACGACTACTTTTACCTTCATTTGGTATTGCTGCTCGTCTGTACTATTCATGACAATAAACGACATTTGTAACAATTTTCTATTAAAAGTTTACGAACTCATTACGATTTTAGTTTTTATTTCATACCTCGAGAAAATTTGGTTAGGAGTACATGTCGGACGATTACTTACCCCCATTCGACATCGCTGCTCGTCTGTATCATTCGAAATAATCAATAAACAATATTTATATAATGATTTTCTATTAAAAACAATTTATTCGTCATAATATATCATGCATTCTTACATAATATATATCCATTATTACTTCTGAAAGGCACATACTTCATTTACGAGTAAACGTCAGAAATTTTCTGAGAGCCATTGCAATTATTTCACGTACAACTGTACATACCTAAACAGTACAAGATGTGCTCAGAACCTTTCTGACCTCCGGACATTCGAATTTGACCTAGGTGATAATTATCAATTATACAAGTCTAGTCATGTATTAAGTCGATTATCAGAGATTCCAAGAATCACTGTTGGCGATACATTTCTAAACGAATGTCAACTGTCGTATCGTCAAGTCTCCTGGGACCTCAATTCGCGCGCTTATTTCCGTTACAGATCGTTCGAAGTGCGGTATTGGCAAGATTACATTATACATCGTTAGGAACATTTTCGAAATCCGAAGCCGCCTCTGTCGGATTTGGAAAATTTCGCTGCTGACGAATAAAAACGTAACAATAATCTGCAACAATAATCTGACTTCATCTAAATAGATACATTTAGATGAAACAAATCAAAACATTAAGTACGCCTATATACTGCATCGTTCACGACGAAACGTTCGCGCGACATGCGTAAAATAAAAGTTGTTCCACTGAGGGCGGAGTGTCGTTCGAAAAGTTTCTCGGAAAAACGATGAAAATTGATGTACGATAATTGGACGATATATACTCCCGAGTTCGATAAACATGACTACAATTAATTAGCAGGTCTAAAAGCGAAACAAAAGCTTACTGTTCGCGGTAATGCATTTATTAAAATAATTTAATATCGCATCGATGGTAATAAAAACATTTTCATTACTTTAATCGTAGCCAGTACATCGATTTTCAACAGACTCTTTCTCAACCGAGTCTCGCGAAGAACAGATTGCAAAGAGAAACTTTTTAAAGTTATCTCCACCACGGTGCAATGCTTTCAATCAGTGTTTCTCAAACATCTTCCAACAAACCATCTTGATAAAGAAACATTTTTAGCTAAATCATTCTATTTTATGATATATTTAAAATTATTCAATTTAATTTGAGCTTTGTATTAATTTTAACAAAAGCAAAATGAAACCCTCACTAATACGTTTGAGGAACACTGATTTAAGTGATGAATATTAAATGTAAACGTTTCGACTCTGAACTTACGCAAGTCGTCGACCTATGAGCGTAATTACGGGGAGCGAAATTGAAATTTTTCTTTTGTACTGTTTCGTTGAAGGAACTGACTAACGTGCAGGCTACGAATGCGAACAATTTCCCTTGTTTCCCTTTAACATATTCGGAATCATACTGTCTTCGTTAAGACCGAGTGTGCGAATGCGACGATTTCAGAGTTCGACGAATAAACGGACCAGAGTCTACGAACTATGCGTAACGAAACTGTGCGCGTGGTGCTTAGGTTAACCCTTTCGCTGCAGGTGACGTACTTATATATCGTCGAACAATAGCCTTTCAGCCCAACGCTATTGCATTTTTAAAGTCTTTATGGTGAACACTTAGCCGTACGAGATTCTTCTAGATGTGATTTAATCTAAATAAAACGGGCACGTAGTCCTGCTTCGACACTCACAAAGGGACTCTATGTTCAAGATCAGAACCGTAACTAGTCGGGGACAGAAGGAGCACCATGCTCTTGGGCGCCATGTTACAATGACAGTAAAGCAAATTAACTGTTGTAACGTTTCATTCATTATTTATAAAGTAATGTTTTTTTTTCAATAAATTATACTAATTTGTGGTATAATATTAATTTTTGAGAAAAAAACGAAGTTAAAAACTTCTGAAAGAAAATTGACATATAAAAAATGTATTGTAATCAAAGTATCAAGAAAAAATAACGGCGCCATTGTTGCCCTGTGTACCAAAATACCTAGACCCGGTCCTGATTTTCGACTTTTTGAACAGGATCAGAGAAATTCGTAAAATAAGCAAACTGTAAGAGACGAGATGTATAAATAAATCCTGAGATAGCAAGGTTCAATGTTTAACTATTTTTAGAATAAATGATAAAATGAGGCAATTTATTTAAAACAGGTAGTCCTGATGTATCTATTAATAATCATACTTTTCCTTTTGAATATTAATATGATGCATGTATCAAGGTAAAGCAAGGGCTTGTAAACGACAAAAAAAAAACGAGAAACTCATGTAATGATTAATTTAATTACCCTAATTAGTCATTCAGCAGGTGTAGTCTGGATTGTAAACGGGTTATTCAGGACCACTAATTGAACATATAATACTTTATTGCTTAACGATGCGTATCGTTAACTGAATAATGAGGATCATTTCTAAGTTAAAGACAGCAATTTCCAGTAATAAAAGCTGCTCCTTCGAGCCTTGTTTTTTTTCTTTTTTTAAATCTGTTTACATCCTAGCATGGTTTTGGTAATACTTTGAAATTAATGTACGGAGTCTTTTTTATAAGAACGATTTCTACAGTTTGCGTTTCATCCCGCTCAACAAGTACTCGTTCTGACCATAATATTTCCGTATCAGTCTCAGGGGTTTACAAGCTTGTATTCTCCCATGCACGGCAGTGTCTTTAGGTTGAAGAGCGTCGTAGCGAAAGTGTTAATTCTGGGATATCGTTTTTTCCGATCGACGTACACAAGTCCGAAGCTACTGTTCCTCGAGCTAACTAATTACATCCTAATTGTTCGTTACACTGTGTTTAATCGTATCGTTATTCGATCTTCCTACACGTTCGGCGGGCGCGTGTCCTCGTCACTGAACACGAAGACGATTTTCATCGATCGAAAAACGACGAGTCGACGGCCTCGCTCCTCTCTTCAACGAGATTAACTTACGAGACGACCCGTGGATCCGGGCCCGTCAGCAATTACCGGCTTCGTCTTACAAAACATACAAAAAAAAAAGAAAAAAAAAAAGAGAAGTAAACTATATAAGAACACCTTCACTCGCTTCGTTCGGATGACAATGGGACGCGATTAAATAAGATAACATTGGTAATGCGACGACGATGCAACTATGATACTTAACGAGATAAAGCTGCGAATCGAATACTGTGGTAATGATGAATCATCGGATTATTACGAGTTTAGAGGGCGAGATGCGTCTCTCAGTCCACCTTCGCTGGCTGCACCCTTGGATACAACTGTAACAAAATCAGCAATTAGACCTGGAGTGATTCAAGGTCATCAAAGGTCATGATCGTATCACAAACGTCTTAAAATTCAATATTGAGAGATCGAAGCTGATTTATTCTGGTAATTGTAAGATCCTTTTATGTTTGTGACCTTGAATAACCTTGTATCATAAATCGACGAGCTCGAACTCGTTCCAAACGATTTCGTACACGGTGGAGAACATTTCGATTAAAAGGTACTGTTCACCTCGATGCCACGTGAACGTCTTCACCTAACAGACCAATTTTTACTAAAACAGCGACTCTCCATCCTCCTTTACATTTTCTATGCGGCTTCGTATTTCGACTTTTTTTTACGAGTAAGGTTCTCAACTTACGCCAAGTAAATTCCGTGGCACGTAGCCTTCCTTGTGTCCCAGTTTGCTCCACCACCACTCCCTCTCGTTGTCGTCGCCTTTTCGAAGCACAACCAGGGAGTCGCCGTTCTTCAACGTCAGCTCGTCGTTGTGTTGCGCCTCGTAGTCGAACACCGCGTACACCTGACCGTTGTTCATTATACCGAGTTTCTCTTGAACACCTGTAACGAGACGCAACAAGCTTACGTTAATTGGTTACAAATAGCGCCAAGAATTCGAGAGACCTTATAAAGGAAACTGATCGACTCCATCGATCTCCACTTCCACTATAATAAACGTCTACCGCGTACTTGCACATAAACTTGTACCAGGAGGATGTTTCTCGTTTTTCAAATGCTACGTAACTTTAATATTCGTTCGTATTAATAGTTGAGTGCAAATACCTTGTATAATATTACAAATATCGAGTTTGTAAGTTTTTCAAGCGTTACATTTTCCTTTTTTTAAACTTCGAAGTTTACTTTTTGTGACTTAGCGTCATGCTGTAAAAGTTGAAATTTCTCCTTTGTCATGGAAGTGTACGGTGCCTTTTAGCCGCGACAGATTAAAATGAAGAATGTACAATAGTTTATCAAAGTACTGACTGTACAAGTATTCCGAGCAGCCATCGAAGCCCTCTTCATCCTCCTCGCACTTCTCCGCCGCGGTTTCGTGGTCGGAAAGGGTGGTGGCGAAGATACAGGCTCCATGTTCCACTAAGAACCTCACCATCGACAGGTTGTTGCAGCTCGCGGCGCAATGCAACGGAGTCCTACGTAAATACACGAATTAAAAGTTACTAGTTATCAGTAGTAAAATGACATCGAATGCAGTCGTAACACGCTATTTATTACTCTCACTTAACGTCCTCGACCAATGATCGTTTGCTTACTGTCGCACACACGACTCTTCAAAGTTCGTTAGACCCCCAGGGATCCGTGGACCACTTTTTAATAAACTTGAATAATAAATGGCATAACTAGTCTCTGCTTACCATCCGTCGCTGTCTTGCGCGTTCACGTCGCAGCCAAACTCGACGAGGAACTTGACAATTTCCAGATGACCGGCGCAAATGGCGTTGTGAAGCGCGGTGATGCCCTCGTCGTTCGCGGAACTAGGATTCGCCACTTCCTTGGCGGTCTTCTTCACCAGTTCGAGTTCACCCTCGAGGCTGGCGTCCAGCAGCAACGCCAGAGGATCGAAGGACACCCTCTTCGAGAGATTCGCCTTACCGGTGCTGGACTTGAGATTTCCCTTCTTCCTCCTCATCACCTCGTTGCTCTTCCCGTCCACGTCCAGTTCCGTTCTTCTGTCGCAGTCCTTTTGCGCCTTCGCCTTGTCCTCGATATTTATCACGTTCAGAGCGTCGATGATGTCCGACTCCTCCAGCTTCTCATTACTGATCACGTCCTCTATCGCGTTGCTCTTCTTGCAGTTGTCCGTCGTGTCGATGATCTGCGACTGCTGTTGCTGCTGCTGTTGCTCCGTTTGCATCAGGTCAGCTGGAATCTCGGTCTCCGGGAACAGGAACGCCGGTGGCATCTCAATCCGTCGGTTTATCGATACGTGAACATTCGACTTCGCGTAACGAAGTTTCGGCTGCTCGGATATTGGCGCCTTCTTCAGGGTCAGAGGTCGAGCCTTGATGATCTGATGGTTACCGAATTGCGTCTCTGTGGGCGACTCGGGTGGCTCAGACGTGGGAATCGGTGGTAGGTCTTCTTCCTTCTCCGTCCTGGAGTATTCGATTTAAACGTTAGGACCATACACGGTATTTAAATTACTAGCAACGCGATTTGTAACGCGAAGCTTTAACAAAAATTAAGATCGATGCAATTCCAGGTAAAATTATTTTGAAGAACTGAAGCTATAGGTTTAGGGAGCAGAGTTTGCGAGATATTTAACGTTAACCATTATTAGTCTCGGTAGGAAGTTTCTGTTCTTTTGAATTTCACAAGCGCGACGACACTGGTTCACTGATATTTAATTACCGATCGTTATCAATCGCGCGAAAGGGTAAGTTCCAAGTCGCGGTTGGCCCTCGAACGAGATTCTCGAGTTGCTTGACGTCACGGTCGGTACGTTCGAATCCTGAACCCGGAGGAATAATTTGAAATGAAAAGCGCGCCAGAATGGTCGATCAGAAAACAAGGACTCGATCGATCGAAGAGCTCGCGACTACTAAAGCCTGTTGTCTTCGCGCGCACAACAGCCGTCGTTCTATTTCGGTGTCTATTATTCGAGACAGGCTTCAATTCACCGGCCAAATCGATCGCGGACTAATTAACATTTATAATTAACCCGATAATCGTTTTGTCATCCTGTGCCCGAAACCTTTGTCGTTCGCTTCCATCCGCCTCGATCGATCGTTTTCCCCTCGATTGTCCGACTCTCGATCGAGGAAACACTTTCTTATTTCGCTCGTTCCGTTTCGAACAACGCGGACGAAAGATACAAGACTACTTCCGGAGATACGAAAGGAGACATAAAACCACCCTTTGTCAGTGTATCCTGAAATTCGAATTTAAATACATTCGTTAGAAATACTATAGTTGAGTATTGCATTTCTCACTTGGTAATAATTTCATGTTAATAATATTTAGAGTCAGGTTTAAAAACATTTTAGTTCCTTCAATTTTCTGTATTAATGTTTTGAGTTTTACAGACGCCAAATAAAATAAATAAAAATAAAACTATTGCTTTCTTTTGGTTGGGTTGTACAGTTACATATTAATGAGATTATGCAGAGGTGTAAAATGCTCGCGGATAACCCTTTGAAGAATTTAATGTCCTCGGTTCGCTGTGTGGTAACGATATTACATACGTGTACCAAGAATAAAGGGTGTCATCGCTAACGCCAATAAACGAATGAATGATGTATAGATGAAAAATATACAGGATGTCCTATTGGAAGCAGGCCAACAGAAAGAAGAGGTATCTCGCGATTCTGTTATTTGTTGAATATTTTAGAGGAATTATTATAATTATTTATGTATGCAAGTATGGATATGGGACACGAACTAAATCTAAAAAAGTACTTCTATTTCTATTTCTATTTTTATCGGTTCATCCCTCGAAGCTTGTTTGCTTATCACGGAATTAATACTTTCCGTGGTATTCAATCAATCGGTTGGCCGCTCAAGGCCGCCACCCCCCCCACCACTCGAATCTCCTGTTTTTTTGCTCCGCCCTACCGTTCCAAAGACAGAGTGTGCGGACTTGCAAGCATGCGTTCTTTATCTCTTACATGGAAAAGCTTGTGTGGAGTAGGAGTGGGTGAAAGGGGGCGTGTCTAACGTGATTTACAGCGAGGAAAGTGGCGTCCAGGGGCCAATCGATCCCGTCCCGCTCGCTACATGAGTTTTGTCACGTATTTCATGGTTTCTTGGTGGCCACGCTGTCATCGAATCTCCATAGCGAACAGTCCCTCTAACAATGATATTTAAAAAGTAAACGGGCTACCTGTAGGTTCTCGATCGACCTTAGTGATATCTATTTTTTTCAAAGCAACAATCTAGAAGTTGATCGTTAATGATTAACCGGGTCTTAATGGAGGAACCGTCCTCTGCTTCCATGGGTAATTTAACTAACTGCCTCAGAGCAGAACTATTAACCCGTTATCTAACAATTTATTTTCAAGCGAACATACTCAACCACAATCGTTATAAATAAAATTAACATATCTCGCTAAACTAAACTAAACTCCCTAAATCTTTCCAAAAATGGTACGCGAATATTTCAAATATTTTAGCAGGTGAATCACGATCCAGAAAGATCACAGATGATACGAACCTCGGACTCAATCCTATATTATTCTTGCAATCTCCGACCCCGTCCGCGGTGGAGTCCAACTTCTCGTGATGGGTGAGTCTAGGCGGTGGATTAGGTTTGCTCGGTTTCGGTGGTAGCGCCGGCTTCGTTTTGTCCTCGCCCCGTATCTCGGCCAGATTCTTCCTCTCGTTGTCGCCCTTCAGCCTCTCGAAGTCGAACGTTTTGTCGGTCGTCTTCGCCGGAATGTCGAACTTCCCGTTGTGCTCGTGCTTGGTCGTCGAGCTCTGCTCGTACTTGTTGTTCTCGAATTTCACCGACTCCTGTTTGAACTGTTGCCCCGGTGTCTCGTATTTGCTCGGTGGCTCGTGCTTGAACTCGTACTTGACGGACGGTCTGACCTCGTGCTGATCGTGCTTACCGTACTGCTGAGTATTTTGATTCGGATCGTACTTCGGTCCATGGTGCTGTTCGTGCTTCCCCTGCTCGATCTTCGACGCGTTGTCGTACTTGTTCGTCTGAGGCTGTTCGTGTTTGTTCGACGGCTCGTAGAGCTTGGTCGACTGACCGGTCTGCTCGTACTTGCCGTGCTCGTATTTCGTATGCTCGTACTTCATCTGATGAGGATCGTACTTGTTCGCCTCGTACCTCTGTTGCTCGTGCTTGCCGGGCAACGCGTGCTCGAACTTCTCTTGACTCTTCGCCGTCTCGAACTTCATCTTCTCGTTCTGCTCGCTGTTCGACGACGAGCTGGTCAACGGCTGCGTTTGGTTGTACCTCTGCACCGATCCGCCAAAGTTGGCCCCGCTGGACGACGTGTGAATGCTCGGCGGCAGATTGGGAGAGTTCTGCGTTTGATAGCCCACGGACGTGGACACGTGGGTGTTGGCTTGGATGGAATGCTGCTGGATGCCTGGATAATTGTGTCTCGACGTGTACGTTTGTTCCTGGTTGGTCTGATTGCTGGGTATCGATTGATTCGTTTGCTGCTGGCTCTGCGTGCTCAGACCGACGAAGTTCTGCGCGTTGGTGTGCCCGCGACCTATGAGACTCAAGGTCTGCGGCATCACCGGATGGATCTTCGTCGAGGAAGTTTGATAGATTTGGGACTTGACGGAGAAACTTGGCGCCACGCTGGACACCGGTTTCTGATGAGTTTGGAGGTTCCGGTGGTTTTGGGTTTGCGTGATGGAGATCGTCGTGCCGAGGCTGGACGCCGAGGAACCGATATTGTGCTGCTTTTGCTGAACCGTACCGTGCTGTTGTTGTTGCTGCGTCTGCGGTTGCTGTTGGTGATGAATTCGTAGGTTCTGCGACAGCCCCTCCGGGCTGAAGTTGTGGCCCGACACGATCAGGTTGTTGTTCGTGCTGTTGTTGTTGTTATTGTTGTTGTTGTTGTTATTGTTGCACGTCTGCTGGAGGTTCATCGGCTGGCTACCGATATTTTGATTGTGTTGCTGCTGGTTCGTGCCTAGTAGCTGCGATTGACCTGAAATTCGAGTACAATTTCAACTAAGCTCCGATGTAATTGAGATTTAATGCTGTCAGCTTTATTTCTAATAATTAAGATTTCTCTTTATTTACAAACCTTGAATATGCGATTGGGATTGACTATGGGCGATCTGATGTCCAAACTGCTGGAAGGCTGCCCTCTGTCCTAACTGGGAAGCGCTGGCCGAGTGTTGGATCTTGTTCTTGTTCACGTCGTCCTCGGCAGCCTTGAAGTTCACGGTGAACTTGGTGTTGTACGGCAGCGTCTGATACTTTGGATCGTTCTTATTTAAGTTGAAATCGTTGTCGTTCGGTATGTGGGAGTAGGGCTCGATGGCAGCTATGTTCCCCGCCGGCCTGGACTTCCCTCCAGCGTTGAAGTCGAGTTTGGACTCCGTGAAACCGGTGTTCGCGTTGGTACGGTTCCCGGAGCCTATTTGCTGGCTCAGCCGTTGGTTTAAGGCTCTCTTGCGTTGCAGACGACCCTGAAGCTGAGCTATCCTCGCGTCGATCGACGCCATTTCCGCTTGTCGCTGCGCCAGGGCCAATCGTTGCTGGGACACCACTTGGTTCTGCTGCTCGTTCATCTTGTTACGGTACTGTCGACGAGAAAAGGAAATCGATTCTGGGCAATCTATTTGGATTTAATTTCATCTCGGGAATCATCTTCGTTTTAACGCTACGCATCGACGCACGGTCAGCCTTGAAATTTTAGGGAACAAACGTGTACGCTTGGTGGTCAAACACTATCCTTAACTATAACTCCACTAGGATGTAGCTTTCAGTATAAAGTTTCCTGACTCTACTCAGTTATTCAAACTTAATATGCGAGCAAAAAATGGAATTAAAGGAAAAGGTAGGAAAGCTTCCATCGATGACGTTTTTCAGTTTAACTAACTGCTGGAAGAACTCGATGAAAGGTCCATGAGGCGCTTTGGCTCAGTATCTTTCAGATTCTCGAAATCGAACTGTCCACTCGCGAGTATTGAGGTACAATTTACTGCAAATGGAACGCGGGATCAGAAATGCAGCCACGATCGCAAACGGACAAAGGGACCTTTCGTTTTTCGCGAATTCCGTTCGAAGTTGAACGGTCTTTGGACGGGGACAAAAGGACGTAGAATAGGAAGGGGTCAAAGGACTCACCATAAGCTCCCTCCTGAGCTTTTCGAGCTCGGCGCTGGCCGGTGTCGACAAGTGTCCACCGCCGGCACCGCCAACGCCGCCTCCGCCGACGCCTCCAGCGCCTCCACTTCCGGTCCCGGTGCCAACCGCGTTCTGTCGACCTCGTAGCTCCTCGAGCTGCCGCGTCAGCTCCTCGACCTTTGCCACGGCCAAGGAAAGTTCCTTCTCCTTCTCGTTGAACAACGCTCGTATGCAGTCCAGGTCCGAGGCTGAAGGAACAAATGGAGATAACAGTTAGAAACACCGACTCCCTGAGGGGTGATGCGGTCTTTCGGGCAAAGATAGAGTAAATGCAGTATCGCGGGTTACGAGCGGGAGCAATTTTTAATTAAAGTTCCCGTTACTCGTGGAGCACAACTGGTCAATCAATAATGCAGGACCGCAAGAAAAATGTGTTTAATATAAACGAGTAAAAGTTTCTTCATCTTTAAACTCTAGAACCGAATTCGTTATATTATTATCTCCAATCGTGTCACGATTTTTTGTTGGGCAAAGAAAATGTTTTAAAAACGATATTTTGTGCTTTGAAAATATAGTACTAGGAGCACACAAAGGGACTGTGATATATGTTCCTGAAAATTTGATAAAAAGGATTGACAGTTGCGAAGTTATTCCTTCCTGCGACGAGCAATAGGGAATGCGAGTATCGTCGTTCGAAATACATCGAAGCGTTTCTTCGCTCTAGATGTCGTTTCGTTTTGTTCCGCGTTTGAAGCGTGAACCGGAAACTGATTCGATATTTCTGAAAAGACACCAAAGGGACGCCCAGGCGATCGTTTAATCCAGCGAGGCAATAGTTCGCGCGAACGAAACGTTCCTCTAATTATTATATTTCCCTCGGCATTTGACCGCTTGCCCCCTTCAACCTTTTCGGGATCCTTCCTTGGCCTTTTAATTTTGCTCCAATGGACGTCTCTGGAGACGTCATTCACGTTCCTCGAGATGAGGTTTCTCTCGAGACCTTAGGCGAACGCGAAACTATCAAAAACAGGAAACGTTCCGAGGCTACGACGTTACCGAAATAACGAATAGCGTATCTTTTTAGGTCATTTAAAATAAATCTATTAACGATAGTAGAAGATTATCTCGATATTGGTGGTTGATAAATAAATGTTTATTTTACAAACGGTGTCTGATTGTAGTTTTCTCGTACGCAGTGTGTCATTCGCGGAGAAAATGTATCGAAAAAATATCGAACAGGATCGAGGGTTTGAGCGATTCCGGCTTCGACGTGTCTGAGACCCGTTTTCCAGCGAATCGAGCTGGAAAACGTCGCAACGGAACCATTCGACCGCGGTAAACTGTCTCGTTTCGATATCGTCGGGGCAGAATGGCCTCCAGTCGGAAAACACCGCGTCCAGGGGGAAGAAATCAACAGAAAAGATCCTGTGGTTCCTTTCAGGAAGCACGTTCTTCCACGTAATTAATCCAAAATCTAATTTTACGAAAACCCAGCGCTCTCGTTTCGACGTTTCGTCCAAGAGAACTCTTCGCACGGTGGCATCGTAGCAATAATCAAATTATTATAATTATTCCGAGCGGCGGAATATCCTAACTCGAAAACAAGGTCGTTCTCGCGAAACTTGGTCGGTTTTACCGAATTATTTACATTTTAAAACTCCATCCGCCAAAACTCATAATACCACCGAGCGAGCAATTCCACGGCGCTGAACCATTAGCGTTGCATTTAATTGGACGCAAAGACTCGGCGTGGATCCGGATTTGCAAAAGCGCAGCACGCTCGTTTGTTTCCGCGGGCTCGTGTTTCCCGGGGCTTTGACCGCCTTAACGTCATTTCCCGCGGGAGGAAGGCGGAAAATACGAAGAAAAATAGTCGACGCCCGGGGAAACGGGAGACGACGAGGACGGTGCAAAACGGAGAAGAATGTGGAAGAAGGCACCTTTTGTCGCGTTCCTCTTTTGAGGAACGATCGGTCGCGACCACGCCTTATTAGAATTTTCATTTCCATCCTTCCTTTCCTCGTTTTTATTTTCCTTTTTTTTGTCGCGGGGAGCGTCTTCTGCATTCCTGCTTATTGCGTCGCGACGAAAAGCCCAACGACTCTCGCTGCTCCGCGCGTTATATTCGTCGCGGGACGAGCGCCGCGGCGGGAAATTCCGAGTTCCTTTGATGCCTCGGACGAGGGACGCAAGAAAGCGCATTCTTCGTCTTCGTCGAAAGAAAACCGTACGCGTTTCTGTGCACGAGCGACAAACACGAAAATTGCATGGTCGTCGAAGGGAAAGGGGGCGACATTACTTTTGCGGGGAACACGCGTTGTTGCAGCCGTCGAATTTTCCTCTCGGAAAATTGAGTTCTCGAACCGCTCGAGCTCGGAAGTCCGCGACTACTTGTTTCCCGTTCAACAGATATTAGGTTGCAACGTAAAGAAGTTCTGTTGCGAGCGTAAACGTGCTCCAATTCCAAGAATTCTAAACGAATAACAAACTCCTTGCCCCGGTAGGAAATATATTCTTGCGAAAACGTATAACATTGTTACTCTTTTAAAGCTAGTTAATTGCAAAACGTAGCTCGCGAAGGGTAATTGGAAAACTGCGAGAGAGTTAATTACCTGTAACGAATAATTGGAAACAAAATGTTCCTCGATTTTCACGGTACGAGTATAGTTAATGGCGACGCGACAAAAGAGCCTCCATTAGCGCGTCCCGTTGTTTCGTATTTTTTGGCGCCACCGAAGCTGTCAAGTTGTCGAAAACAAGTAAACAGACAGGCGTGGAGAACGCGTTAAAGTGTGATTCGCGATAAGACAAATCGTTGTTTAATTAAACGGTGGCCTTTTAATTGATGCATACAATTAAATACGGAAGTCGAGTAAATCGACACGATTCATCGATGCAGGCGGTCCTCGTTTGTGCATTATTTACCGGAACGGATTTTCTTCTCGTCGTTATTAACGACCGTTGAATCTTCATCAATTAAACACGTTCGACGCTGGACACTCTATTACTCGATCGTTCGATCCAGCGATGCTCGTTTGGCAATTTCTTGTTTGAAGTGTCCCCCACGATGACCCATTTAAATCGACCCACTCGTCGATGGCACGTTAAATTATATTGTTTTAATAGATAAAAATAGTCGATCAAAACTGTTCATCTAAATCTAAAATTATTAAAAGATCGTGTACATCGATGGCACGAGACCAAAACTTTTCTTTCGCGTCAAAAAGTAAATAGAATTTCGTACCGCGGATAGTCGTCGAGGAGAAGTTCCAGAGCGAATCGAGGACTGGCTTCAAAAATCAATCTCCACTAGAATTCATACGGTTCCGTTCTCTGCGTTCCCGTGGTACGATTCACGAGGTTTTCCGCGAGAAAAAAAAAACCGTAGTATCGATTTCCCCGCTACAATTACGCGCACAAGCGTGGCCGGATCCTCTGAATAATTAACGCTCGGCATCTTCCGGCAACGGTGGGGCTCTGTGAATCGCTTTGGGGTTGATTTACGGTGTCATTGTGGTCACTGGCCATCGGTGATTATCGATTCCGCGAGGACGCGATATGCATATTAAATTGTGTCCTGTACGGGACGCAGCTGCTGGTTCTATCAGAATAAGCGGCCCATCCTTAATTGCTGGCGCGAGCCAATTAGACCCTCTCAAGGCGGCTACTTCGCGCTCGCGACGAAAAATCGAATTTTTCAAATAAAACGCAACGTTGGGAATCGGATTGGATTTTTAATGGTATAGAAAATTATACAGTACAAAACAAAAATGTAAACATTTAGAAACAGGTTTGCAACGCTCAAAAACGTTCGACCAAACCCCGAATTTGCGTGGGGGATCCAGTTTGAATACCACTGGACTAGATCAGGGGTGGCGAACCATTTATCATCGGAGCGCGGGCTAATCCTGCTCTTTCATCAACTTCATCCTGTCCGCAAAATGAAGCAAAAGACGGATTCAAAAATGTATACGCAAGGAACGATTACGTCGTTCTTATAGTCAGTGGAAAGTCCGAACCACTTTATAAAATTATCACTTCCAATTAGCGATGGTGCAGGAGTACAAGATAGTTACATACAAGGGCTCGAAATTTATTACCTGAATTTTTCTCACGATTTCACAACTTCTATGTATTTTATCCATAAATATTCCAACTTTGCAGAGACTACTTTCTTTTACGAAATCAATTTCCTTATAATTGTAGTAAATTTTGTTCTACAAGAGGGTAGAATATTAGAAAAACCACATTAATGTCTCTCGTAAGACGATTAACGATTGCGATGGACAGCACGAAATATTTTGGAAACGTCCGCGGATTCTTAGGATCCTCCCAGCGAAATACATCGTCTTTCGGGAGGGGCGGTGTGTCGAAGGGTTGTACCACGTCGTATCAGAAATCCATTTGCCGTCCGCGGGCTCGTGAAACGCCACGAATATCGAGTCTCGAAAACCGTGACAGGCTGCGAGGAGCGAGTTCTGCGAGCGAGCACCGGCATCCGTCGGCCGTCTATAGGCTATAGATACCCAGAATTCGATAATGGAATTCTAGGTCATCGGACAATCGCTCGACGCGACGATACATCATTCTCGTCGAGATTATGGAGTCGTATTGGCCTCCAACTTACACGAGCCCACCGATCCGCGGATTCGCGAGCAGTTAATTTTAGCAAATCCATGAACACGCCGCGATCCGACGTTCGATCTTAATTTTAGCCGGATAATCGATCAACGCCTCCAATAATTGACTGATTTTTAACGAGGCTCTCGATTACCCGGACCGGAGTTCGCTCTTCCGACACGTTCCTCGTTTATTATGATTCATCGTCAATTGTACTCTTTCATTAACAGCCTGATTAAATAATTATACGATTCTAGTCGCTTCTGCGTTCCTCTTTTAGCGCGGACACCACACTTTGCGAGCAGTCAGTAACAGATGGCTATGGTACCGTCGAACAACGCGGAAAGTTCCGAGTGCCGACGGACTTCGATTCAGCTCCCTCGTGAATACAAAATCTCCAGATGGAAAACCCGTATATCCGCTGCGGCGTCCTTGGTCGTTCAAAAAGTTCCTCGAACACGGTCGAGACCGCACGCTCTACCTCTTCTTTACGTTTCGAACGTCGTTGAAATTTCGAAACGCTCGAAAGCTGCGAAGCCGACTGATGGGGCGACGCCGCGAACGAGGATTCTCACCCCCCTCATGGGAAATCGGTGTTTTACTTTTGTCCCTGCGGGGTCGAACTCGT